TTGCGTGAATAGCCGTGTCGCCCCCCTGGCATGCACTCTCATTAACTAATCCCTCGAGACCGGTGCCATCATGTGGATAAATTCCTGAGCGAAGACCTGCGAGACTTCTAAGCATATACCACCAACGTAAACTGTACCATATCGAGCTCTATAATCCCGTCTCTAAGATCCACTGCACGAGTCCGTTGAACTCCGACCAGACATCTATCATCGCAGCCGGTCTTGTCAAACAGCACGGTAAATGACCCTGAACCGTCCGACAGCACACTTCTGTTCCCGTTCCATTCCTCACACATGGTCTCTTGAGGTGGCCCGTCGGGGTCCATCAGCCAACTGAGGAATGAGTGTCCTGCTCCTGGCACTCGCCAATCATAAGCGCATAGATGGGACCAGGGGTCAATGGGTGCGACTGGACACTCAAAAGCCATTCAATCGGCGCAAAGAAGACGTTGTGTACCCATCTGCAAGACGGCTGGAACCCACCACGGTTTGTGGGCCCGCGTAACGTCTATGAGCAAAGAATGATAAAATTTGGCAAGCATTGGAAAAGAAAGAAAAAAAAGCGAAAGCAGTTATGTGCCTTTTTGGCTTTCGGAAGTTGCGTTTGAGTGTGAATAACTTTTACGCTGTCCTTGAGATGTTCAATTTCCGGCAGTCGTGTGGTTTTACTGACATCCCTGTCGGTCTTCTGAGGCCGCTATACCCTGACACGTGCCGTGCCGCGGCCCCAATCCGCCTGTGTGCTCACCGTGGCCCTCTCGTGCCAGCGCCGTCACTGGCGGAGACACGCGGGATCGACGGAGCAGGTGGACGGTGACATAAATCCCCGACGGAGCGATATCTCGCCGGAACCGGCCCCCGAAACGATAGCACCGCCGTTATGTGACGGGAGTAAATACGGGTGACCACGTGGCGCATATCAACAGAACTCGTTCTTCAAATCGTCAATTGACATAAATAAACAACTTAATATGAATGAGGCATGACAGAAGGTTTTCGTTCAGCGGACGATTATCTAGAGAAAAACTAAAAATATTCGAATGACAAAAATAAACAAATTTATATCAATGAGGCAAAACAGGTTTTCATTATGATTTCCAAACATCAAGTGTAAACGGGCAGTTATCTAGGAAAAACTATCTGGATTGTCTCAGGAAATATGCCCAGAGGCTCTGGGTCTCTCTTTATCAGATAGATGCTGCAGCGGCTCAACAAATGTTTATCAGTTATCAGTCGGGTATTGAGGCTGAACATGCGTTTATCAGGGCTTCCTCCGTTTCCAAAAAAAAAAAAGATTTCCGGACCGGAGCGCACAGATGCGCAAATTTATCAGCATTTCTTGATAGGTACCCATGTTCTGGAACATCTGGTACATATAATACAATTTGACATCATTATCAGCAAAAATCAACCGGCAGAAAAACGTCATAATTTATCATCCAAACATGAGATAATTATTAATCAGTGTGCGTAATAAATAAACGCAAGAACTTTTTTAGACGCTAAATATCTAAAACAATCACGAATGCATGAAGATAGTTCTGGTTTGCCGTTTGAGTGTTTGCTGAAATGACAGCTGGATTGAACTGGCCATCATCCGAATATAGACACATTTTCTTTCAATTGAGCAGGCCAATCTTTAGTAATGTTTGACGCCTTAGTTAACAATCAGTGCACTTGCACTTACAAAATACAACGTGATCTATGACCACAAAAAACCCTCCCTCGCGCCGAGCCCTGTTCGCTCAATAACCTCTCCCTCGTTGTCGGTTTTATGGTTGGCGGCGGAGGGGCGTCCCAGGCCGGGCGCCGTCACCCGGCGGCGGTGGGTGCCGTCACCGCCGAAAGCGTGGGTGGGGAAGGGGAGGAGGGGTGGGGGAGGGCGGGGGAGGGGCGCCGGAGCCGTCGGTGCCGATGAGCTGGCGTAGGTCGGTGTCTTAGGCCTGTTTGGCACGGTTCCGTATGGCCCGGCCGTGCGTCGGCGGGGTGGGGGAGGGGGATGCGTAGGAGAATCGTACGTACGACGTCTGAGGCGTGGGGCTATGAAAACGTGGGCTTTTGAAACGCGCGGGGCTATGACGCATGGGTGTCTAGGCTTGGTAGGGCCCGAGCCCTACCAATTATTTCAGGATCATTTTCAGCATTATTTCTATGGTGCTGCATGGTAAAAATGGCTTGATATCCTTACATTACTCATTGATACAGCCCTACTAATGACTAATCAATTTGGGAAAGTGACGCCCTTGCTATGACGGCAGACTGAAAACGTCTACCGTGCAGCACAGCCCGTTACTGTCTGTGTAAGCCGGACCTTCGGTAATCCCAGACGGCCGCTGATATCAGAGAGCTCGGAGTTCCGCTGCACCGTGGCAACCCGAGACCATATAAGCCGAGTCTGGCGACGCGGCATTTCCTTTCAAGCTCCTCAGCTCACCCAGCTGCCGCCATGGCTGCCGGACAGCAGAGCTGGAGCTGGAGTCGGCCCCTCCGGAACATTTCACGGCAGCTAGCGGCACCGTCGCGTCGGAGCGGCGGCGCGCGCGGCCGACCGACGTCCATCGACCGACGCGGCCGACGGGGTCGTAGGAGACGGAGTCGGTTGGCAGACTGCCCCACGCGCCGCCGGCCGGGGCCAGCCGGCGCGGCGGACGGCACGACCGGCCGGCCCGGACCACGTGGTTAGTGGGATGCCGGCGCGGAGTTGAGGCATGTTGAACATTGCTCGGGAGTGACTAATCGGGAAGCCAGTTTGATGGCCTGCGAATGGCACGAGTGAACCTTTGCGGAAGTAATGAACCATATGCAAGAAGCGAGGATTCAGGGTGCCGTGCGCTTTTTGTTTAAGTGACAGCTGTTTTTAGGCGGTGAGCAAAAATCCAAAGAATGATGTATGCTGATGCATTATAATTTGTTCCCATATCACCTACGAAACTTGTAAGCTTCAAGTCCTCGTTTAACTTTTATCTTGCTGTGCGACTACATAGTCCAAAATAAACTTGTTAATTAATGGACCCCAAGCTTCTTCTAGACTGAGCGAGCATTAAATCACCGAAGAAGGCTACATGTATCGCGCCGGTTGGGCCAGAGCTGGCCGAATGAGACCGATGATACTGTTCCGCAGCGCACAGGTGCAATGCGGTACAGTATTACCCTCAGTACGCTACGACGTAAAATATCACGTAGCACAAGGCTCTATGTTGTCATAAATTGTCATCACTTGGCTTCAGCGCGGAATATGTTGTGACTTTCCAAAAAGACGGTTTATTTATGACAAGAAGTAACCATTGAAACCCATGACCATTACAGACGTAAACATTGTCCTGAAATCCATCACTTTTTTAGGAATGTTCGGGCTATACAGAACGTTCCGCCTGGTATTTGACCATGGCATGGAGGGGGCGTGGGGGGGAGGGGGTACCAGACACTATCCAGACGACATGAGATTAGCGGGCAGGGTGGCCACTGGTCAGGGTCAGCTCCCGGGCGGACAGCGGCACCCCGAGGCGGACACATTAGGACACATTACCGGCCGGACAAGAGGCCTGGGATCGTCCGCTGTCCACCGCTGGTCACCACTGGTGAGCACAGGGCCCACAAATAGACGCTAGGATCCGGGATTGTCCAGCGATACCCTCTGTGTCACTGTCGGGTCACCCTCGACCCGCTACAGAGGTCCGGGCTGTTTTAACGTCCACAGTAAAATGATTCTTAATATCAAAGACAACTGAATTAACTTCGTTCCTGCTAGTAATAAAAGGAGTACTTTATTATGAAATGGGTTATATAACAGAATGATATTTCCGTCGGAACCGACTTAATCTAATCCGGAGCCTTCCATTTTAGTTATCCACAAATTAATTCAACCCACTCAGATTTCACAACCAGTGCGGATCCAGTTTAAAGAGCACCGAAATAATCGGCGGCCTGGTGCGGCCAGCTGGCGAAACAGAAGTCATCTGAGAGGGATTACGCATATGGCGTAGAAGTCATGAGTTTATATACAAACGTTCCAGATATGATCGTCATGTCTCCAGATCTCCAGTAATGTGCGTCCCAGCAGCGAGTCCTGGCCTTCTGGCTAGCAGCGTTCCGGATTGAGGATTTATATGGGACGTTAGGACATCACTAACTAGAATTGTGAATGATACCGCTACTGCACTCCTACGAGGCTGTATGAAGTAGGTATGTTGAGCACAACAAATGCAACTATGATATTTTCCTACGGCACAAATAATACACCATGGCCCATGCAGTGAGGCCAAACATCATCAGTGGAAGCATATAATGCTGTCGGTCGAATTGTTTCACTTGTGGTTCATTAACCTGGCGCTCATATCTGGTAGAATAGGCAGACGTGACAGGTAAGTGGCCTATGCTATTATCTTATCCATTTTCCACTTGACGGTCCTTTGAAAACTGAAGCATTCTCACCCTCTTATGTCCACCAACAATCTAAATAAATACACATACGCGGTACTTCTCACAAAAATGCACAAAAATAGCCGTTCAAAACACTAGGTCTGGGGGATACCGCACTGTTGAGCGTTGGGAAACGGGTCGAGGGCCGAGGGGGAGTTTGAACTGAGCACAAAATGCTGTAGCGTCCGACAGATGAGACACAGCACCAGCAGCTAGTGTTGACACGTGAACGTTTTTACCAGTGGCTGTGAGAAATCACTGTCAGTTCGGGGTGGGGTGAGGCGGGGGTAGAACGAGCAATGGTGCCCATGGATGACGGTATGTGTTTAAGCTGCTTTTATCGCGAAACAGCAATGCAAGTGAATTAAAAAAAAAAGAATTATGATTTGAATTTCTACATACTGTTCCAAACCATTTCACTAAAACTATTACCTCGCAACGCTGATAACTGTCATTCGACTTACGAATGCACTAGCCGGTCGTCAGGGTCAGCTTCAATACGAAAAACGACGCCACAACGCACCACGCACAGTGCACACGCTACGTGAAACCTGTTCTACCGACATGACACCGGTACTTACCGAGTCGGCAGTGATGAAGAAGTTCCACGGCAGAAGCGTGCCCATTCCCAGTAGGTAGAAGATGTAGTATATGATCTTCGGGCTGCGGCACACACACAGACAACTGTCAGAAGGCATCGGCTACACAAACCAAACACATCACCAAACCAATCGCAACTGCAATTTCATCGAAATTAAATCACTTGTTTAAAACGTTTAACCGATAAATATTACCAATAGGCGTTTACATATGCATCTGCTAGACTTGATGACTATTGTCATCAACAATGCAGCTACGATCGTTTATGCATGAATCATGAGTAGCAGGAAGCAGCGTTGACCGACAACAGCGTTCTTCTCCGTTGAGCCAACCTGAGAACCCCTCCTCCTGACGTCACTGAGTCCTTTGTCACTGCACTATCCACTCTCGTCTCTTCCACTTCACCATCTAAACTCTTGTGACCTTCTCCTTGAAGCGTCATCCCTCTTACAGGTCACAACTCACAAGCACTCAAAGGACAGCTACCAGGGAGAAACACCAGAGAGGAACACTGGATAGAACACGGAGGACGCTCTCCCAGTCTACCCCCGTCCCGGCTGGGGAGCCTCAATGATCTACCGACCACCGGCGGCGTATGACATGCGTGCTCATGAGCAGGACATACGGCGGAGACGCTGCTGGTCGTCGGTCGATGATGGATAGCCGGCTGAGCTGGGAGCGGTATTACGCGATACTACACGGTATTAGACGATACGGGAGCAGGACAGTCGGTGCAGGAGAGAGGACAGGGAGGGACTTTGGTTCTGTGCTCCGGGCAACAGGTAAGATACGGACTACGTGTGGGGTAAACTGTATGGACTTTCAGGATACAGAGGAAGGCGGCGAATTGAACATTGGCTTATACGTGCGTGTGAATTTTGGAGGGAAGCAGGATCTAACGATTGATAGGAGACAAGAGACCGTTCCGTTATGTTTTTACATACCTATTGTTCAGCATGAACGTCACGCGGTAATAACTCAAAAACTGATAAGGAAAGAAAAATGCTACCTTACTCCTGCGACCTCTCGGCAAGATCTTCAAACCATTAGATTCGACAATGGTATGTTGACGGCTATCAGTTTCAGTATCCAAGGCTTCGACAAACGAAGCCAATATTGTGCAACACACACCAGCGGATGAAGGACCGCTGCTCGCAAAAACGTCTCAAACTTAATCCGGATATCATATTTCACCATCTAATCGCCATCCGGGCGAAATCGATACCAATTACCGTCTGCATTCTGATAGGTGATACCGATATGCATGTGTCGCATTTCTAACATGAGGAAACATCGAAAGGATCTAGTTATATAGGGATAGGTCGTTTTGGTGGGTCGTCTGATACGTTTGGTTGGTGTGCTGTGACTGTACCGTCTACAAACTGGCGAAAGGAACTATACTAAACACACAGTGAAACAATTTAATTCAGACGAATTTTGTGACTTGTGAGATTTTGCAATTTGGATGTATCGAAGTTTATTTTTTTTATATAGTCTCAAATCGTGCTTAAAAATAATATAATGCCACTATAAAAGACTTGAGCTGTCCACCGACCACTGCACTCTGAGAAAGTGTGAAGAAAGGGGAAATCTACTAATGGATACACAATTGACTGTTTCGTCAAGACATATACAAATAGCCAGGAAGTTAGTAGTCCATTACGGAGTCTGCGGCTTTCAAAGCCTGAGCATGAATTGAGCCACTTCGGACAGGTCCCAGAGGGACAGAGCGCCATTACTGAGGGGTCGTCGTCACCGACCCTAACTATACACAGAGGGTTCGGAAGCTGACCCTGCGACAGACGGCATGTGACACTGTATTTATACCATACCAACGGGACGGAGTGCCATCACCGAGGGACCGCTGACCCCATACGGACGGAGTGATCTCAACCGTAGCCCTGTGAACTGCGTATCATACCCCCGGGACATAGTGGCACCATCGAGGGCTCGCCGCCCGCGTACCCATAGAGTCTGACCTCCCCAGCACACGGTGTAGGTAGGTACACCATGTGTGCAGCCCGCAGTGTTTACAGGACTGACTGCTAGCTCCCCAGCCAGGCTGTGACTGTGCTGAGGGACCTCGACAGGACTGCGGAGTTTGTATGTACAGACATGCTGTGTATGTATATGTAGAACGTGCAGTTATGGTTCAAGGAGTGGCTTTGTTCAAACGATCGGCAGACGAAGGACAAACGATCGTCGTAGATCTCGATAGTGCGACCCGATGTGTATCCGCGGATCGAGGCTCGAGCTTACGTACTTTCTGATCTAATGTTTTTATTGCGCCCCATTTTTGCAAGAGATAGCCCACCTCATGGAACCGTAGTGTTTACATTGCGAATTTACCACATGCCTTATTGTTGACACTAGAGAAGCTCAAGAATGCCATAACGCGGAAGAGCATGTTTAAATCGCAGTTAGAAATGTACGGCCTTTATCGCCCAAACATATGAGCACGAGCATCGTAGCTAAGGTGTAGCTAAAATCATATAAATAATCAGATATATATGGCCAAAATACCACGAAATGATTATTGTAAAACAATTGCATTGCTAGTAGTTAGGACGTGAAAGAAGAGAGCCGTACTCCATATTGCATTCATGCCGATTAGTGACTGAAAAAGCGGGCGGTCCCGGATACATAATTCGCAATGTACTGTAATTCAGTGCTGCCTGGGCATGACTCTCTGGAGAGGCCGCGACCATGTCGACACTGTTCCGAGCAAGAACATCCTCAGTGTCAAATTTTTCCCAGTTGAGATTTTTATACCATTCGACTCAGCTCGACGAGATGAGTCGAATGGTATGTAAGTAAATCGTTCGGCAGGACAAGTAATGCAAGTGACCTAATTATATTGAGATAGCATAACTGGGGTAAGATGCCTCCTACCCCGTATCCCAGAAAGGACTTTGGATGTTGAAGGGAAACGGCCTGCTTACCTAACGGGGATAAAAAACATTAAATAAAAATGATGCCGCGATGATCAAAAGAAGAAACTTAAGCATTCATACTCAAAATAATGCCGACCATCGTCCACACAACGAAACTATGAGTGCAAACACTTTTTGAGCTCATAAGTTAGAGTACGTACGTAAGTAAACGAAAGTCTGATCAAAACTTCAACACGACAAATGTCGGACACACACAGCACCGGTCTAAAGAACACGTATCAGAGAATGTCCGAGAACAGAACAACAGGAAACAGAAAATCAGAAAACAAGTAACATTAGAGAACATATAATCAGAGAAAACCATCATAGAACATAACATCAGCGAACATAACACCACAGGACAGAACATCAGAGAACAGAAAACCACTGAGAACAAAACACGTTTTACCCACGTGAGAGGTAATGGAAAGCACACTTACGCATCAGGCTCCACGTGGGTCTCGATCATTGACGCCTCGACCTCCTTGGAGCTGAGGTGCTGCGGCGAGCCGGCACCATTACGGTCGTCGTTGAGCGCCACATCCTCCTGTGACCCGGCCCCCATGGCGGCTTCCCGTCGTCACGGCAGAAGTCGGAGCGTCTTCGTCGACGACCGTCGACGATTGGGCACGGGGCGCGAGTGACGCCCGGGGCGACAGGCCGCCGGCCGCGCCGCGGGGGGCTCGTCTCCGCCGGCAGCGACACACAGCGGGAGCCGCTGGAAACAGGCTGCCGCGCGCGCAGGGGTCCCATGCCCGGAGGGTATGTGAAGGTCGCCCGGTGCGGCGCTGGAGGCGCGCTGTCCAGGGGGCGGTACCACATCGCTGACCAGAGCTTATAGGAAGAGTTGTGGTATGGAGGTTACGTCATGCAGTTACGCCTCTTTCTGAAGGGCTGGTATGGTATCGTCGAAAATATGTTACCGACTTTGCATAATGACTGGAAGCGTATTTCTCATTTGTCAGTCGAAAACAAACAAAAGATAGCCCCAGCGGTAGGCGGAAGTGCGAACAATAAATCTCTGGAAATCAAACTCTACGGAAATCAAATGAGTACACACGGGTCGCCAATTTTTACTAGCTTTTGTATCAGGCAGGTCTGTTTCGAGGGCACCAGGCTACCCGAAATCAATTATTGCCTTCGCTTTGTAACCGGTATCCGCGATAATGCACAGCAGTGAGCAGCTCCTTTCCAGCGCACCACGCTCGGATGCTGTGCCGCAGTGCTCCGGTGCGTCCCGGCACAGTCTACCCACTCGCCGGTGAACGGCGCCTTCAAAACGGGTAGCCGATAGGCTGGAAAACAAAGTAAAAGAAGAATGAGATAAAATGATGTAAGTGCTTGCATTGCCGGGTCTTGGCACCAGCCATAAGAAACAAACGACACTGCATGTCCTTCGAGGGGACTCGGTGCCCGGCAGTAGGCACTACTTCCCCATTTTCATTAGCTAAGTGATGGATACGGACGAGCCAAGTATGCCAATCTAACTGAGCCAATGGTGAACTTTTGATCTTATCGCGCATGGCATTAGTCCTTCCGGCCTTTGTCTACGCGGTGCCATTCAGCATAATGACATAAATCGTACGCCAATTGGAAATGGAATATCGCGAAAGAATGCGTGTAGGTGTGTGTCTAGCTCCTCCGTGAGCACATTTTTCGTAAACTGCTGGATGTTTGACCTTTGAAATTACGCTGACACGGCTCGTTCACCAACTGTTTAGAAATAAATCCTAAAATCGATACAGGCTCCAGTTTTGACTGACGACACGTTGATAACCGCAGATAGCACTGGCGGGCGAAGCGCTCTATATCGATCGTATACTCAGCAAACAACCTTATTACGAGCGAGCGAGCGCAGCGAGCGAAGCGAGTCTTTTCAATATAACGGAAAAATCTCAGTATGAGCGGCCCGGCCCGGCCCGGCCCGGCCTGTAACGCTTTTGAGAGGCTTATATCTCAGCAACCGCTGGACCGAATGGCCTGCGGTCTTTTTTGCTGGGTAGCCCCATCCCTTCTACCCCGTAATTGACTACTTTTGATACATCTCAGTGACCGCCGTGGCACGTGCCACGTGAAAAGTCAAGGGTGTTCAAGCAGTTTTGCAAAAGTAATGATTTTGAGAGGCCCATATCTCAGCAGCGGCTTGAGCGATTGTCTTGCGGTCATTTTTATAGGGTAGCTGCATCCCTTCTACCAAAGGTCGGATACTCTTCATCTATGTGAGTGACCCCCACTGCACGTGCAAAATACAACAATAAGAGGTGCCAAATTTGTTCCCATTTCAGTAACTCGGTAATTACTGGGGCGATTTCGCTGAAACTTGGCATACAGGTAGGCACCCACCAGGCAATGCATTCCCATGTGTTGCGGTTAGGGTGCTACTGCACGTGCGCTCGTGCAGGGGGCGTTTCCAGATCTCGAGAACGGGTGGGCCGATTGCGCTCAAATTTGGTACACGGTTGGGGACCAGTTAGTAGGGTGCCGTGCAAAAGTCAGTTTGGACCCCGTTTGCACGTGCGCACGTGCAAAATGCCGCTTCCAGATCTCAGGAACGGCTGGGCCGATTGTGTTCAAATTTGGCACACCGCTAGCGACCGGTTAGAAGGGTGCTTTGCACAAGCCCGTTGAAAGCACCTTCTCGCCCTTCCGCACGTGCAGGGCTCACTATCTCGCTCGCTCGTTCTTCGCCCAAAAGGCGTTTTACTGGTACTAACAACCGAGGAGATAACATAAACGTTCGCACGGCTGTAGTACACGTAAAAGCCAGCACCGCGACTTCATCCATAAAACTTAAAAAAAAAAAGAACCCAGCAGCCGGCTAACTGTATTCACTTTTTTTCGGCGAAAACCAAACATCTGATGACACACAAGTACACGATGAATGACGATGGTAAGGTCACAAGAACAGGACAGAGCTTCCAGCCGACATAGGGATAACGTGAGAGGTCTGTGGGCTGACGACACTGCCAAATCGATGCGGCAAAGCTCTCCGGACTTACGGAACCGGTTACGTCAGTCAGAGTCTAACCGTTCTGGAGCTTCTGGAAAACGCTGAATGAAATGCCAGCATTTGGTCAATATGTGGCAGAGTTTGTCTATGAAACCTTTGAGAGGAATTTTGCGCATGTATCAAAGATCAGAACGAGAACCCATCAATGAACACTTTCACGCGATGTAGGAATATTCACTTCCCAGCTTTCTAGGATTGGGTGTTTTTAGCCTGAGCCCGTAAGTACAAACATCTTCCAGCAAGTCAGTGTTGCGCAATGCCGCAGCTCTCCTTAGACGTGGCAATAGCATTCAATCACTGTTTGAATGGTCACCGAGACACCGTCTGAGTCACTTGGGGTGGTATGTGCGGCTTGGACCAAAGCGTGTCATTCACAGCTCCATGACACCAGCGACATCAGATAGGCCTGACTGGTGTAGGTAGGTCCGGGCAGCGTGCATCCGGGCAACTATCACACTGCACAGGCTGTCGGTCACCTCTAACCTATCAGCTTCACCGCCACGGAACTCCATCCAGCCAGCACCCGAGCTGCACTGGTACGGGGTGACCTCTGGTGATCCGTCAGCAGTCGGGACGAACAATGATGGCAATGGTAACGGGGGTTCTGGCACGCGCAAGTTCACTTCCCTTACGTCCACTGAACAATCATGCACGCCACAGGACCGCTGTTCCGTCCTCTAGAGATCGCCTTACTGTCAGTTTCGGCGTAAGTAATGCACACTGCACTGGGCAGTTCACAGCTGTGAGGTCCCCGCCGCAGCGATACACACCACATGAGCCGCTCTGATGACACGAATTAGACACAACACGCCGCATGTTCTGTTGGACTGAGGCTAATCAAGATACTCGTCGTGGACGAGCATCACAACAGTCCGAACGCAGCGCGCTCCTTTTGCTTCTTTCGGACAACATCGATCTGCCGGTCGCGCCACTGGCTCTTCCTCAGCTTGATTGGTCTGCTGCCCACGTACTTTCCTACAGGGGAGCACGGTACGGGTCAGATGGGCAGGGGTCAGAAACGACGGATCATCTATTAACTTGAAAACAGTGTGGTAGCACGATAAAAAAAAATAAGTTGATAACAGCCAGAATAGCTTATGTGAACAAGTAGGCAACCTGTAAAGGAGAGCAATAAGTTGTCTGAAACGTTAGAGCGTTTGAATTAAAACATGCACGATTATTTTATCCGCATGAAACCTGAAGCTATGGAAGCCATGAACGCAAGCAACAAAAAAAGCTTTAAAACATCTTGTTAACACGCAGAGAGCGAAATTCGTAAGATCAGTTGGTAGTTCTGCAGATATCATCTTTCAAAAGGGAATATTTAAACAAAAATCCTATTCCTAAAAAAATCAGATGAGGAATGAGACAAAGGTTAAACTTACGATTTGTTGTTTCAAGCCAGGTTGCAGTTATCGGTAAAAAATGAATAAAAAGCAATACGAGAACAACACATGGTGCAAATTAGTGATACAAAAAAAAAATAGAGCCAGCGTACTTCTCTAATCCCAACCCAGACATAAAGCCCCATTAACCCGCGCCCTGCTGGGGGGGGGGGGGGGTGTTTGAACACCTCCCCCCCCCCTTGTGGTTTTTCGCGAATATCTCAAAAACGGCGGCGCTCCGCGCCGCCCTTTTTGGTATACCTTATCATACATCAATTCTACACATGTTGTGAAAATTTCAGACCAAGGTCATTCGAGGTCAGGTCACCAGGTCACTTTAAGTGACCTCACCTCATAAAAAGTTTCAATGTCTGTCATAGCTACACCGAGTGACCGATCGCTTTGAAACTTTCAGCGATTGCTAAGAGCAACAGCATGTACAAAATGTATATCTCAGAATTTTGATATCGATGACCTAAGGTCAGGTCAATTTTGCGACCTCCCCATTATAAGTCAATGGAAAAAATTGAAATGCGCCTCTTTTGAACGAAAGACATTATAAACACTCCCAAACACTGAATTACAAGTGGTTTAGACACACTGAACATGAAAATGGTGTCCGTGACCCCTGTTTATGCCCTGAGGTCATCTAAGGTCACGAATGGTATCGAACAGTTTTTCGCAAATAACTTTTGATAGAGGCATGCTAGAGCGATGAAAACGCCTTAGATGTGTTCAGCTCGACGATACGGATCGACTGATATGCAACATGACCCTTTCCGGTCAGGTCATGACCTTGACCTGAGGTCAAATTTTCAAGTTGACCTCTCAAGGTCAAGTTATAGTTCATTCCATGCGGCTTGACGAGAGGAACACGATGCCGGTAAAAGTAAGCTCGTACAAGGCTTGGGTCAAAAGTTATTGCAGAAAAACCGTTTCCGAAAAAATCGGCTATTTTTGCAGTTTTTGCCCCCTGAAGGCAAAACCGTTGACGTTTGGTCAAATCTGAGAGAATTACTCAGAAAGGGCGTTAATAGGGCTATCGAATGCGCTTTTCCGCGGCGCTGTAGCTCTATTGGTTCCCGAGTTATGCGTTGGCTTCTTGGAAATTGTCTACATTCGAACTAGAAATTGGCGAAATTTTGCCTTCAATGACCTCTGGTGACCTGACTTTTGACCTGACCAAAAAATTGACTGAAGTAATTTCCTCATTATTTTTGACGCTCTTTCGAACGCCGCCTTCCGCGTATCGCTACGTGGCCCAGGAGCCGAGTTGGAAGGGGGGGGGTGTTCAAACACCCCCCCCCCCCCCCAGCAGGGCGTGGAAATCCAGGACCCCCAGCCGGGCGCGGGTTAAGACGGCAAACTTGCGCATGCTCAGTGCTCACCATGTGCATTCCAAGCGAGCGCCGTTATCCACACCGCTGCAGCATCCACCATCCCAACATACCAATATCAACAGCTCCCTATGAAGGCTAAAATAGTTTTTGCAGCGCATGCAAATCGCCAGCCCCGCCAAGTAATGTTACAACAGCTATTTCACGACACAGACAATTTGATTCGAGGACGGAAGGATAACCTTGGTCATAAATCAAGAACCGTGAATTTAGGTCTAAGATAAAATGACTGTTTCAAAGAGTTTGCTATTTCGTCACTAGATGGCAGTCTGATCGGCGCCTGCAATCATGCTGTACCGCACTGCAAGAATATTTCCCCATTCCTGCCACCAGAGGGCAGTGGGGTGAAAGGCTGGAATGTTAATCATCAATTAAGGATCAATTAATCATTTTCGTCTGGCAACACTCGCAATTGGACAATCGAGCAAGGAAGAATAAAGCAGATAAACCAAAACCACTCAATCACCTGCAACAATATACCACAAACTGAAAACATCCGCAAGCGTAACTTGAGCAAGCGTACCAGACACCAACAAATCCGACATCCACCACCACAACGCATGCGCCCATTATACCCCTGCGTTCCGTCTCCCTGATTCCCTCATCTCACCATTCATCTCCTTCATGGCGCGCACGTAGTCATCCGACTCGCGGAAGCTGATGAACCCGTAGCCCTTGGTCTTGTTGGAGCGCTTGTCGCGCACCACCTTGGCCTTGACGAAGGACGGGTAGACGGAAAAGTAGCGCGTCAGCACGTCCTCCGTCACGTCGTTACCCAAGTCGCCGGCGAAGATGCGGAAGTCATCTGCAGAGAACAGACAGAACGGCGGTTATAAAAGAAGTACATGAGTGTCATACGTCAGTTTAGAGGGATAGCAGACATGACTCGTTAAGCACAGACTTAAGTTGCATTGTCAAAATAGCGATTTTTTTCTCAATAGGTCTGTACAGCCCTCACAGCATTAAGCGGTTGGCAAGGTTGCCAACATCACAATGATCCATCAGTATTGATGAATAAGTCTTAAGTTTTTTTTTTTCTTCTTCACGCTTTAGCACTTCTTCAATTCGTCTGAGAGTTCTGCGATCAGTTTACGAACAGTGCCAAAAAGGCGGGCACCAAACCAGTTGAATGTTTCGAAAGATTTACAACAAGTTGCGTATCATGTGGACTGTTTACAATGAAAAAGTAGCCAGAGACAGTGTGCAATATCATTCTGCGCCCAGTGCCGATTACGTACTAAATTCCCCGCTAAACCGTTCTCCACAACCCGCTTACCCTGGTCCCAGTCATGCAGGGAGCGGTCCTCCCAGATCTGCCCGCCGGCCGTGCGGATGAACTTCTTCGGTCGCTTCTGTTTCTGCTGTTTGCCCTGTTTTCCCCCGTGCTGGTGACCGCTGCCGCCGCTGCCGCCGGGTTTACCGCCGTCCACCACAGTCGTGGTACTGGAGGCCACCCGTTCTGCCATCGCCGCCGCCTTGGACTTCTTTGACGAGCCGCCGGCGGAGGCAGCGGAGGACGAGGGTTTGGCGTCGGCGGCGGCGGCCGGCGCGGCAGCGGGCTCCTCCTCAGCGGGCGCGGGCCGCTTCAGCTGCGGTTTGGAGGCGTATACCTTGGGCCCAGAGCTGGGGACGAGATGGCGGGTCAACATGACGCTGGTAACAGGACAAAGTACACTGGGGTGTACACAAACCTTCGGCCCGGAGCTGGGGACGTGATACAGGGTCAACGGGACGCCGAAACGCTCTCCGTAGCACTATGCTGGTATGCGTTAGACAAACACGAATTATACCTGTTAGCAGCCAATGAACATCAACTCACAGCGAAGCTTAACGCCACGCGTAGCACATCGTTAAAAAAAGGTAAGTGATACCCATTGGCCATACCTCATCAGCACACGTCCTCCAATCACGGCCTTTTCATAAACACACTTTCAGTCCCAAGCACGCCCGCCCCCTTGCCTCTACACAGCAAGGACACACCCCTTCATCTTCCCCTCACCTGATGACGGGTGCCGAGATGACAGGTCGCGGCGGCGCCGGGCCCCTCCAGCCGGGCGGCGGGCCGGGGCCGCGCACATAGCCCGGCGGCGGTGGCACGAATCCACCCGGCGGGCCCATGCCCGGCCCGGGCCCGTAGTGGTGCGGCACGTAGCCGGGTGGAGGCGGCGGCGGGGGCGGGGGAGGAGGCGGAGGAGCCGCGGCACCCACCGCGGTCACCGGCGGACCCCCGATCTCAGGCAGCTCCGGCAGCGGAGGCGGCGGCGGCGGCGGGGGCAGCGGACCTGACGACGGCAGGTGGTGAGTTATTACATGTAAAACATAGACTCAGACAGAGCCGCCCATCCCACCCATGAACAGCTGTTAGATGTGCAGTTTAAGTCGATGCAGTAGCCTACTGACATTACGTGAAAGCTCAGAGACTGACCTGACGGTTTGCTCAGCTGGTGAGGTACGAACATATTGGCCGGTCTAGGTGGCGCTGCGGCAGCCGCCGCACCACCGTAGCCTTCAGAAGCTATTTGTGTCAGCTTATCCTGAACCTGTCAAAACAAGGACGTCGAGTCAATAGCTCATACCTAAATCCTTGTTGCAGTAAATTACTATGTATGAACCGCAGTTCTGTAGACAATGACATGGCTCTAATGTGGATGAAAAACTGTGCCTAATTTGCTCCCCATATTACTATTAAGTTGTAATACCTCTCCTAAGACGATGCGGGAGGCCTTATCCCCAAAGACGGCCATCAAACCTCACCCCACGAAATATGGGCTACGCAAAAGTCGCACCCTATCATCTGCCTTTTATTATAAAGATATTTTGTTTAAACATACCTTTATTAGTTAATCAGCTAACTAGCTCATCAAGCTTAACATAGCAGCAGAACAGCCTGTTGCTGCCCGAGGCACAGTTGGCCGACACTCACCGAGGTGAAGGTGTTGGCGGCGATGATGGGCGGCCGTGGCTCGGCCGACACGACCTCCGGGGCCACGGCAACACCGGCGCCGCCGCCGATCTGCTGCTCGAACCTGACACAGACAGGGAACACATGAAAATCAGACATGGGAAATTGGGAAATGGGAACAAAGAGGAGAATAGGAAATTGCCCAATCCTGCCATTGTGGAAAGGGAACACATAAAACAGCAGTGAATGCAATTATCTGAGCCATCAGTGATCAGCGATTAGACATATTGGAAATGAAAAGGTAGGTAATATGCCACAGCTCAAAGATGACTGACACATGCATGTAGCAAAAAAATGTGTGGTAAGATTTTATAAATAGCAAAAGAAAGCACCCATCATTATCACAAGCCATTTCCCAGTAGTCTCCAAGCTGTGTTGAAAACACAAGTGCATGTGTTGTTATACTCACATGTTCATCTCTGCCTCCAACATTCCCTGACCAGTATCCATTGTGGCTTGGAGTGGTCACAGACAAACTCAGATGCTGGAAGACAGTGTGTCATCATCAGCACTTTTATGTTTGCTTGAATAGGTGCAACAAATACAAAGAAACACTTTTCTGGACAAATGAGACAAAGAAAACAAAGAAAAAGTGTACAAGTGTTGCTGGTAACGTAAGTGATTCAGGTAAGATGACTTTGAATGATGCATTACCTACCTATGTACATAAAAATACACCTTTTGCTTTAAAAAGAATATAACATTTTCCTCAAATTAGTTTTTTTTTTTTTTTTTTTTTGCTAGTTAAAGGTAGTGTGCCACCTTTGAAAGATTTCCCATTTTATTTTTCCTAGGATAAGAAGCTTCTGTTTTTACCTAATATCGCAAAGAAAATAAAAAATGGGCCTGGAATAGTGCCTTTTTCGCCTAAAAGTTTATCGGTTTTTCGATATGTATAACAACTGTAGTGGACTGACCTGCAAACACCACAAAGTATGAGCAGAAGCCGCGCCCAAAGCCAGGGCCCCGGTAACGTGAGGTAGCCGAGTCGGGGCAGCGTGCGCTGACCCAAGCCGGGGCCGCAGCTTTGTGCGCGGTCTACCGCATCCCCGCGGGCAGCCCCGGGCTATCACATGACACCGGGAGGACGCGCGGCCCCGGCTTGGGTCAGCGCACGCTACCCCGACTCGGCTACCTCACGTTACCGGGGCCCTGGCTTTGGGCGCGGTCTACCGCACCACCTAACAGGCGTGTTCGAAACCGCAGGAGATGATGATGAACGGGTTTATCGAAACTTGATTGAATGAGCATATCGGTAATAGCGATTTCAGTGTGTGCATTTATTGTTCATAGTGGTGTGAAATGTGGTTGGGGTACGACCGACAACCCGTCGGGGCGAATTTCGCACTGGGGTACTCAAAATTTGAAGAATTTAAGGCGTTTCCATGAGTTTTGAAGGTATGGGTAAGTTCTAAAAATCCGGTTCTCCTTATCTGGGCCATTAACTCCATACGGTCCAGGAAAGCTGGCACACTACTTTTAAAATGATCAGAAAAGAAACTGATAAACATCTTTATCTAAAAATGGAAAATTTTCATTTTTTGTAGGAAGAACATTTTTTTCATATTTAATGCAGGCTATAAAGTGTTTGGAGCAGAATTCTTTTTGTACAATGACCGATCACATTACCTAGTTCACTTCAAAAATATATATTTTTGATGCCTAACCCAGGCTTTTTGTCATAAGTAGCTCATATTCCTACTAGGTGCTACACACTTCACTTTACACACTGCAGTGGTACTGAGCGTTTTCAGCACCTGCCAAGCAGGCCAGTCTTGCCCACATGCTTCCTGTCCTGTCATTCAGTGTACCCCAGGTTGCACTGGTGTGCACGCTGGGGCACCTGTGTGCAGTGTGCACACTGTTGAATGTCTTATATCATTGATACTTTTCTGTTATTATGATTTCTAGGCATATAACAGTGCTGCAATTGCAATGAACACATCTTGTAATGGTAACATTCTTCTCTAAAAAACAAAAATTGTATGCCAAATGAATTTTATTCTGAGCTAGAAAACTTATTAGGATTCATAATTTGGTACCATTGGCTATGTCTTTCCTGCCTCTTGTCTCTCGACATGAGTTGATGATTATATGTTAATTGTTACTAATCCAGCTCATGTAAGCTGAAGCATAACAACAAATAATGACTAACATGTCAAAAAGAGTACAATCCACTTAATACATTCTCGGATAATAAACCCAGCCGCTTATGGTGGCCACTTGAGCTGATTTGCTCACAGATTTCTCCATAGAAGCATAACTGACTCCAGTTAATAAAGCAGCCCCTTAATAAGTCTACAACACTGTGTCACCAGACACCAGGATGGATTTATTTAGTGGATTTTGCTGATATTTGTAAATAATAGCAAAGTGAAAATCAAGGAAAAGGTTAGGTTAGGTTAGGTATATACGGAAAAGAAAGGTCCTGAGGGACCTGGGTGATTTCCGATCAGTGGCATTTCAATGTCTTCTTAGTTCCGTCTTGTTCTCGGTGACTTCGTTTCCTACTCGTCAAGCGTCTTCTTCACTGCCTTGGTCTCAGTTCGTAGACTCGGTGCGCCCAGAACTTGTCAAGTCGATTCTTGAAGGCGTTGACGCTTGGGGCAGATACAACGTCCGCTGGGAGTCCATTCCAGGCCGAGATGACGCGCGAACAGAAGGAGACTTGACGCAGCTGGGTGTTGACTCTGGGCTGTCTCAGTTTCAGACCGTGGTTCCTCGTTCTCTGGGACGGTTCTCGTTCCAGCAGGTCACCAGCTGTCACCTTCAGGCGTCCCGTCAACATCAGATACACTGTGATGACATCACCCCTCAGCCTCCTGTAGTACATGCTGGGGAGCTTCAGTTCCCTGAGCCTGTCCTGGTACTCGAGATGCCGCACGGAGTGGACGAACCTTGTCGCTCTCCTCTGCACCCTCTCCACGGCGTCTTGATCACCTCTGGACGTCGGTCCCCAGACTGAGTTGGCGTATTCTAGATGGGGCCTCACCATGGTCTTGAAGAGGATGGGCAGTGTAGTCTTGTCCAGTGACAGGAATGTGCGCTTGATGAGTCCAAGAATCCTGTTGGCGCGTCCCACTGCTGCTGCTGTCTGCTCATGGAACTTGAGGGTATCATCAACGAGCACCCCGAGGTCCTTCTCCTTCTTGACAACGGTCAGCTCAGTCTCGGCCATCCGGTACTCGAAACCAGGGTTTGTGCTCCCCAAGTGCATGACTTTGCACTTACTCCTATTAAAGGGGAGCTGCCACACAGCTGACCAAGCCTCCAGTGCTGATATGTCGTCCTGGAGAAGACCTCTGTCAATGTCACTGGACACCCTCCTGTACACCTTGGCGTCATCTGCGAACAGCTTGACGGTGCTGCTGATGGCGTCCGGTAGGTCGTTGATAAATAACAGGAATAAGACAGGTCCCAGGACAGACCCCTGCGGGATCCCGCTGATGACATCAGTCCACTCTGAGAAGTGTCCCTCAACAGCAACACGCTGTCTCCTGTTACCGAGAAAGGCCTGAAACCAGTGTAACAAGGGCCCGTCAACTCCGCAAGCCTTCAGCTTCAGCAGGAGCCTCCTGTGCGGCACGCTGTCGAAGGCTTTGCGAAAATCAAGATAAATGACATCCACAGCACTGCGCTCGTCAACAGTTCTCAGCCAGTCTTCAATTACCACCAGCAGCTGCAGTGCACAGGATCGTCCAGGTAGAAACCCAAACTGGTGCTCAGACAGTACGTTCTCCGTTATCAGGTGATCCAGCAGAGCGTCCCTTACAAAAGACTCCAGCACCTTGCAGCAGATGGAGGTCAAGCTCACTGGGCGGTAGTTTCCAGGCAGACTCCGGTCACCAGCCTTAAAGATGGGCGCGATATTTGCAGCTCTCCAATCCGCCGGGAGCTCTGCGGAGTCCAGCGATTTCTGGAAGATTGTCTTCAGGAGGTGGCTTAGTGGGCTCGCCAGTTCCTTCAAGATCCGTGGGTGGAGCTCGTCTGGTCCTGGGGACTTGTTTATGTTCAGTGCCTCTAGTCTCTTCTTCACTTCTCGTGCAGATATCTCAACCTCAGTTAGTCTGGTACCGTTGAACCTGGAAGTAGCCTGTGGAGTATGTTGATCTTCAACAGTAAACACACCACTGAAGAAGTGACTGAGTGTCTCTGCCTTCTCTCTACCGCTGTGGGCTCTTGAGTTGTCCTCTCTCTTCAACTCTTCTACTCTCGCCTTCGTCTTGAGTTTAGACCTGACGTACTTCCAAAAGCATTTAGGGTTCCTTGTGACATTCTTCGCCAGGTTGTTCTCATGTTGTCTTCTAAGTTTTCTTGACAGCTTCCTTAAGTCATTCTTTGCCCGTTTGAAATCCGCCAACGATCTTCCATCTCCAGAGCGGCGGTAGAGTCCATACAGATGGTCCTTCTTCCTCTTGGCTCGTATCAGCTTGTTGTTACTGTATGGTTGTCGCTTGTTCCTTACAGTCTTCATTGGTATGTACCTTGCTTCGAGACACTTTATCAATTCCTTTAGACAGTTCCAACCCTCTTCAACTCCTAGGTTCTGCACCCTGTGACTTATATCTGATGTTTCAATATCATGGGCCATGCTTTCAAAATCCGCATTTCTCATATCCTTCACAAGAGCACGCTTCGAACATACATCAGCATAACATCTTATCTTGAAAATCAAGCAGTCATGGTGGCTGTTTCCAATAGGTGGCCGGTGGTTCAGGTCCTGTATCATGCTCTCTTCTGACGTCAAGACCAGGTCCAAGAGACTTGGTGTTCGGTTGGGCATGAAGTGGGTTGGTGAACACACATGTTGACTCAAGAAGCAGTGCTGGATGGTTTGGATGAACTTGTGCGTGTAGTGCTGGTCTCCTGCAGTTGACATTCCCAGACTCCAGTCAATTTCTCTGTAGTTCAAATCGCCAACTAGTACAAGGTGACTTGGCTGACTGTCACACACCTCCTCCAACAGGGTACACAGGGCCTCTGTGGATCTATGGGCCGCCCCCCTGGGGCTCCTGTACACAGCACCGAGCACTAACATGTCGCTGTTCCTCAACTTAGGCTTAACAAACACAGCTTCTTGAAAGAGACTGCCAAACTTGACCTCTGCTGGCCTTAGCTCACACCGTACCATGATTCCGACACCTCTTATGCTTAGCAGTCCCAAATTCTCTAGTTCCGGATCAAAGTTGAGATATGTTGTGTAGTCTTCTCCAACTGAAAAGAATGACAGTGACAGTGGTTTTCGTTGCGCTTTAGGTACACACTCAGTGAGGACCACTATATCCGGCTTATCATCTTCAATTCTCACCAACAGTTCATCCATCTTGTTTGGGAGCCCATCAATGTTAGTGTACATAACTTTTAAAACCTTAGGTACCTCAGCATGCAACACGTCACCCAGGTTTGTGCCATTTACACACTACACATTCTGCATAGGTGCTGTGAAATTGCTGTCATGCAGCATGGGACAGGTCACATTCACATTATCACTCCAGCATGCAGTTTGTAAAAGCGATTTGCAGGCAGCATGGGCAAGCTGGGCCCCATCCACACCTTCCATGCGAAGACATCCTAGCAATATGTCTTTTACTCTCTCATTTAGTCAGACTGTACTCCCGTGATCAGCTCGATCACTCTGTCCTGCCTCAGGGTTTGGCTGCAGAATAACGACCCTTCCTCTCTGTATACGGACAGTTTTTCCTTCCTCTCGGAGCCTCTTCGCCTCAAGTCGCAGCTTGCGGTCCTTCTCCCTCTCCTCAGGGGTCCTGTCTGGAGAGAGGAACACCCCTCGGTACCTCTCACTGTCTCGCAGCTGTGGAGCCATCCTCAGTATGTCCCACTTTGTCCCTTCTTCGACCAGTGAAACTATCAGTGGTCGTGGTCGATCCTGCTGCCTTTTCCCTGCCCTGAAGACCTGCTTGATGTTGGTTGAGATGTGCAGCTCTTCCCGGATCATATTCTTAAATGCCTCAATGTCCTTCTCAGTTCTTCTTTTTGGGTCCTCGTCCACACTCTCTGGAAGGTTATGCACCACAATATTTTGCTTCCGCCTTTCCTTGTCAAAGAAGTCACCAACAGATTTGACCAGAGTCTCGCCTGATCCAGACTCTGCAGTAGTTCTCACTTCTCTTGCTGATATGGCCTCTATCTTGGCTCCCAGTGACTTGATTGCCTCTGCATAGGTTCTCCTCTGCTCTTGTTCTGTAGAAACAACTACTTCAGCTTGATCTTCCTGGCACTTGATCTTTTCCTCAATGCGGAGCACAGTGTCTGATACTTGCTTTGTCTGCTCCTCACAAGACAGGTGGCATGCTTTGATCACGCTTGCCTGTTCTTCAAACTGCGTCTTGAGATCATTATACATTTCTTCCTGCACTCTACATAGGTCCCTGCTGCTACTTGCTACACCCGCAACTGCTCGTGCCTGGTCCACCAGCAGCTCCTTGAACTCGGTCAGGGATCTCCCAACCTGCTCTGAGAGGTCCAGTCCTGCCCGTGTAACAAGGGATGGGATGAGCGCCTGGCAGAATGAACAGACCCAAAATATCTTGAACCTGCGGAGAGCATCAAACTCCTCGGCTGACTGAAGCTGACACATCATGTGGTACCACCTGTTGCAGACATCACAACATATGCATGTGTCCTCCTTAATCTCCTTATTGCAAGCCTTCCCTGAACTACCACGGCAAATATATTCATCCTCCTCCTCCCCCATCTGTCCATCTCTACCTCCCTGATCACTTCTGGCTCCATCTCCACCTTGTTTACTTCCACGCAACATGAAGGTTACCTTCTTTGACGAACCTGGCGCAGTCTTGGAAGGGGCCAGTTTGAGTTTACCTGGCACTTTATCTCCCGCTTTTGCTTCAGGCATGAATATCCAATGCTCTGTTACTTTCCAAAACAAACAACAGCAAAAATCTTGCAGATTATGCACAAATCACCCAAGTTTGGAGAACCAGAGGGAGGACAACCGATCGGCAAGGAAGCGGGAACCTAATCTGCTAACCTAATCGGGAACCTAAACCCTAAAAAGCAACATAATGACAAGCATAACGCTAGTGTAAATTTACAAGCCACTTATGTCCTCATTCCTTCATGGTTGCAACATGACCAGAAAATGAAATATAAAATAGAATATCATACAAACAAAATGTTCAAAAATATAAAAATTGCACAATACACGCCAAATCAAAACTTCGAACAGATTACCTACAAATTATCAGTAGTCACTACACAGTCAAAACACTTCTGCAAATCAATGAAAAAAAGAATGCAATGAAATCAAAATAAAATTATCTCCCATGCAACTGATTCCGTGTCAATGTTGTCAGTGGTGTCCAACAAAATCACAAGAACAAGAAGTACTGCTAGCCTAACCTCAAATACAATACCTGAAGTTTTATGTAAGCATTTACCAGAAATTGCGGGGTAACAAGGCTAAAAGCAAGGTCAAAAAGGATATGAATATAATACGAAACTCAAAATGGAGAAAAAACGTTTCAGCGTTGTGTGCGCCGCGGGGTGCGGCTAATTGTAGGCTACGCTTTTGCGAAACTGCCGAGTTTGGCAGCCCAACTCTGACCAAAGCGATATGCGCCTAGAACCACTGAACTCTAATATATACTGGAAGGAGCATTGGTGACTTGTTTTTGTCTATCGATTTCCGCCATGTTGTGTATACCAGACATATAAATTGCATGTACGGTAGCAGAGGTGCAGTTTAGTGAGAGGTACACTACTCAAAAGTGCTGCTGCTTCATGCTTGCAGTTTGATTGCAGTGATCAACTTTTCAAGACTTTGGTATACACAACATGGCGGAAATCGTTAGACATTCTGGCCCATATACGGGTGAGACTAAATGCTTACTTCAAAATCTAAGCTGCGTTGCGGCATTGGCGGTTATGTGCGGCGTGTATGCCGCATGATTAGTAAGCGGCGACCACTAAATTAAAAACTCAATAGCTTTGACCTGTTTTCAATGGATAACACTGCATACCAAAAATGTCCATCGCTCTCGTCATAGGATATTTAGATTTAAATAACTTACTTATCTACATCATGTTCATCATGTTGTTCCAAGTCCAGGAAGAACATCTACATGAACACGGAGGCACTGAGGATGAAGAAAAAGAAGAACCAGTTGTGGTTGAAGTACTCAATATCGCAGGATCCACTTGATTTGGCCAGGTTCAAGGCATGCAGAAATTCCCTTAGAAGCCTCACCAGGAGCTTGCGTAAAAACTTTGAATCTCAGCTGGCAGCAGATCTAAAGAAGAATCCCAGAGCCTTTTGGCGGTATACGAACTCCAGATTGAAGACGAAGCCGACTCTGGGTGACCTCCGGAACAACACTGGGACACTAGAGAGTAGAGACCACGTTAAGGCAACAATCCTGAACGACTTCTTCGGCTCCGTGTTCACGCAGGAGGAGCTCTCTGAGGTACCTGTTCTCACTGATCGCAGGCCGACACAGGATCTCACCGACATCTCGATAACTCCAGCGGCGGTACAGAGGAAGCTACTAACTCTGAACCCTGCTAGTGCACCGGGACCGGACAACATACACCCACGCGTTCTGCGGGAGACTAGCTCGGCTATCAGCGCTCCACTAGCTGCTCTCTACCGGCGGTCACTCGACACCGGCAAGTTACCACGCGCTTGGTCACTTGGCAGGATTGTGCCCATCTTTAAAAAAGGAGACAAGCAACTGCCCAGCAACTACCGACCGGTGAGCCTGACCTCGGTTGCATGTAAGGTGTTCGAGTCACTGATCCGGGATGAAGTGTATCGGCATTTGACTGACGCACAGCTTCTCTCTGGCAGCCAACATGGGTTTCGTCCTAAGCGTTCATGCAGTTCCCAGTTGATTGAGACACTGAACGACTGGAGTATTGCTCTTGAAGGTCGTCACAGTATCGATGTGATATACCTGGACTTTCAAAAGGCCTTTGACTCGGTCCCTCATCAACGATTGCTGAACAAACTCTGCTGTTACGGCGTCAGAGGTAAACTCTTGAAGTGGATCGAGTCATTTCTGTCAAATCGTTGTCAGCAAGTGGCCGTAAACGGACAACTATCTGAGTGGAAGCAGGTAGCGAGTGGCGTTCCCCAGGGTTCGGTCTTGGGTCCGCTTCTCTTCCTGCTGTTTGTGAACGACCTGCCCGACCTGGTTCGATCGTCAATAAAGCTATTTGCAGACGACACCAAGCTTTACGCCAGTGTGTCCACACTTGGCGATGCGGCGATGATTCAGGCTGACCTTGATGCTCTCGTTCATTGGTCGGAGACTTGGCAGATGCCGTTCAATGAGCACAAGTGCAAGGTCCTTCACCTAGGTCACAGGCGACTTGACAACCAGTACACTATGAGGGATGTCCTCCTTAGTGCCACCGAAGAAGAGAAGGACTTGGGTGTCCTTATCGACTCCGACCTGAAGTTCAGGAGGCATGCTTCAGCAGCTGTAAGAAAAGCCACTCAAATGTTAGCGGTGATACGACGCTCCTTCGTGCTTCTCGATCAGCAAACAGTGCCACTGTTGCACAAATGCCTAGTGAGACCTCATTTGGAGTACGGCAACCTTGTATGGGGCCCGCACAACAGAGCTGACCAGAAACTCGTTGAAAGAGTTCAACGTAGAGCTACTCGGCTGGTAGCAAGTCTCCGTCAACTGCCCTACGAAGACCGACTTAGGACTCTGAAGTTGCCGTCTCTATACTACAGGCGAAGAAGAGGCGACATGATAGCGACCTACCAGATCTTCCATGGCGGCATAGATGTGGATCCAACCAGTTTATTCACGCTCGCTACCGACACTTCTACGAGAGGCCACCAGTTCAAGATCCGGAAAGTCCCAGCTTCAAGCAGAGTCAGGAGGTCAGCTTTTGCCATTCGTGTGGTAAACGACTGGAATGGGCTGCCGGCCGAGGTTGTTGGCTCTCCTTCGCTGAACGTATTCAAAAGCCGTCTGGACGCCCACTGGGCTTCGCTTCAGTATCTGGTGCCTGACACTGATTGAGTCGAGTCAAAACGGAACACATGAGTTCGATGAGAGCGGGACCTCCAGGCCTTAGTGCCTTTACAATATCCCGATCACTTTAAGGTAAGGTAAGGTATCATCGTTTTGAACCAAATTAATACTTTCAACTTGACCCTCGCCCGTATTGGTGTTTTTCCAGCCGCGAACGTATAAGGTATAACCCCTTCTTGCCGTTTCGCTCCTGATCAAGCTAGAGCTTCGCGGGAAAAACGAGCGTGTTGCCCGTGACGAGAGGAAGCCGATGATACCCAATTTTAAGGTCCTGGGTCATCGGTTGACCTTCCAGGTCAGGTCAATGACCCAAAAGGCGGGAAAATTGGGACCTGTTAGAACGTCGTAGTGTGGCTGCTATGGGGTTTTTCAGGTTGCTGATCACGAATATCATGCTAGTTTTGATCACAGATGATGTCTTCATTCATTCAGGCCAGGTCGGGTCAGGTCAGGTCAGGTCAACCAGTAGAGGTCCTGCCGGGTATTTGTAGTAGGTGTCAACCGCCTCTGACAGCCTCGTAACATGTTACGAAGGCACCAAAACTACTTTGTAAACGTTCATGTGGTTGCTAAATTCGAATTCAGCTCGAAAAACTGGCCTAGAAACATGTCAAACTCGAAAAAGTGAACCGAGGTCACCAAAGGTCAATGACCTGACCTGACCTTCAGGTGACCTTGACACCCACCCTAATGCATGGGGGCAACATCATATCACATGTTTGAACGCTTGAAACTACGAAAAGACTGCAAACGCGCTGCTAATGCGAGCCGACATACGCTGAATCGCGGTTCCGGCCAAACATGGTCTCGAAAAGTAGGTTACAGGTCAAAGGTTATTTGCGTCAGGGTCATGAAATTTTCAGGGTAGGTGTAAAATTGATCAACGCGAGGGTACTAAAAGTTACGTCGTGATCGGCCGCTTTTTACGCGAGTTATTCACGAAAAACCGAGGGGAGTCCGTTCGACCCCCCCCCCTAAAGGGCGAGGGTTAACAGTCCGAACTCCGAACAAGTTCGGTCTTGTTTGTGAATTTGTCGGAGCATCACCTAAATCTAGTAGAGATGATGGAGGGAAACTAGGCTTTTAAGGAGGGAAGGGAGTCGGTGACGGTCAGGGGCACTACAAGCAGAGCAGTCATAAGCTGGTGACAGGGCTGAGTGCTGACATACCATGTTTTGATAGCATGACTGAAACAGACTTTTTGGGTAGCCAGGAAATCGCATGCGAGAGCCTATTGAAATTCTTACATCGGCCTTTATATGCACCAGTCGTATACAGGTGCGGGATTCCGGATTTGGCATACGATTTCCAGACAATCGAAAGACTGTTTGGAGCCAACGAAGGAAGGAATGAGTGAGTACTAAGTTGAAAGCATTAATTTGGTTCAAAATGATGATGCAGATTACTTAGCTATTTAAATCTAAATATCTTATGACGAGAGCGATTGGCATTTTTGGTATGCAGTGTAATTCATTGAAAACAGGTTGGAGCGTTTGAGTCTTTAATTTAGTGGTCGCCACTTACTAATCATGCGGCATACACGCAACACATAACCGCCAATGCCGCAACACAGCTTAGATTTCGAAGTAAGCATTTAGTCTCACCCCCCATATACGGCCAAGGCCAGTGCCTCCCCCTGCCTAGAACTCACATTTGGCCGCCCAGATGCAGACTCGTTCGCCTGATGAGAGACGCGAGTAGCAAATTATTAGGCAATGAACCTGATGTGCGCAAGCCCGCTTTAAGCATGCAGCTTTAGGTTTTTGGATACTATGAAGACCTCAATAAGGACAATGCGTTTAAATTTCTCTTTCCATATGCATTATGATCGATGATAAGTGCAGTCCAAATCAATTATGTATGTTAAAAGTCACTTCACTTGTAGATTGATTAGCAAATAGTTCAAAATTATGCTAGACAACAGACTCATATAAAAAACTATTATTAAAATCTGTGTGCTGGCTATTCCGATCCGTGGTTTGCTCCATAGAGGAGTCAGGGGCTTCGGGCTCCCGAAGCCCAAGCGCGCCCTTTGGAACTAAGCGCAGACATTAAAAAATAAGCAAATAATTTATCGTAGAGATAATGTGTACCTAACTATACACCTAGTCTCGCATTTCCAAAAGGTATTTTAAAGCAAACACGTGACATACAAGCTTTCCGCTTCGTAAGCTATTTATCTATATTTTTAAAATCAATTTTAAAGAAAAAATCGGGACTCATCAGTCACATGTATTGGCACAAATGCACAATTAGTTGGCGGCCCCGTACACACATGCACTCAAAAGGCAATCTCTGCTCACTCACATACACAATAAAACCAGTAAAACGCCTTTTGGGCGAAGAACGAGCGAGCGAGATAGTGAGCCCTGCACGTGCGCAAGGGCGAGAGGGTACTTCCAACGGGCTTGTGCAAAGCACCCTTCTAACCAGTCTCTAGCGGTGTGCCAAATTTGAACGCAATCGGCCCAGCCGTTCCTGAGATCTGGAAGCGGCATTCTGCACGTGCGCACGTGCAAGCAGGGTCCAAACTGACTTTTGCACGGCACCCTACTGACTGGTCCCCAACCGTGTACCAAATTTGAGCGCAATCGGCCCAGCCGTTCTCGAGATCTGGAAACGACCTCTGCACGTGCGCACGTGCAGCAGCACCCCAACTCTGGCACATGGATATGCATTGCCTAGTGGGTGCCTACCTACATGCCAACTCTCAGCGCAATCGGCCCAGTAGTTATCGAGATATTGCAACAATTACAAAAGTGACACCTCTTGGTTTTGCACGTGGCACGTGCATAAGGGGTAACCCACATGCATCGGGAATAGTGCAATACTTGGTAGAAGGAATGAAGCTACCCTACAAAAATTACCGCATGTAAATCGGTCAAGTGGTTGCTGAGATATAAGCCTCGCAAAAGCGTGACCACGGCCGGCCGGCCGGCCGGCCGGCCGCTCATACTCAGAAATTTCCGTTAATCTAAGGAAAGACTACGCTCGCTTCGCTCGCTCCGTAATAATAGTTAAGATTAGGCTATGAGCTCGATGCGGATATGAGCTCGGTGAAGTGTGCAATCGGTTCGTTTCGCCGATTTCACCTAAATCTCATCACTCTTACACTAACAGCATATCACAGCATACAGTCCATTTAAACGAACGAGCGCGGAGAGCTGTCACATGCTTTGGGGTGCGTGCGGTGGGGGTGTTAGCACGTATTACCAGCCCAACCCACTCAAGCCCACTCCCCCCCCCCCCCCCCCTAGGTGCGGGCTAATATGTGTGATCCTGGTGCACCTGGGGTACTCGCTCGCGTCCCGAGTCGCCATGGCTGAGACTCGTGACGAGCTCGCTCGCCGCGGCGCTGTCCGAGTGCACCGCCGAAGGCGCCACCCGAGGTCGCTTGGCCCGCCGCGACCGGAAGCACGGCTGAGGCACTATCCGCGCATTCCACGGTCGGTTCAGCGTGTCTCCGAGTTGTTCGCTGGAGACGTGATCAGCCTGGGGAACGGCAGCAACCAGCTGATTCAACTCGCCGATCTTGACGATGGCCGCGGCGAAGAGTGCCCCGGCGCCCTCCGGCACCGCGGCCAGCCGCGCCGACACCGCCGCCAGTTCGGCCAGTGCGCGCTGTTTGTCGGCAGGACGGCTCGGCGGCGGCGGCGGCGGGGGCTCGTCCACCACTTCCGGCGGAGAATCAGGCCTCTGCGGATCGGGCACGGTCAGCTGGGACGACAGGCCATCCACGAGCAGGCACGCAGCATGAATGTGCTTGCACATCAGCTTGTGGCCCGTCCAGTCCGGACAGCTGCACCGCAGGTGGTGGACGCAGGCCCGGCACTCGTGGCACCGCTGCTGGCAGCCGATCTCCGGGCACTGGCGGTGTTCCTGCTCCACCCGGTAGGAGCGGCTGGAGTCGCCTGCACCGCACCGAACCTCCCACGCCGGCAGGAGGCTGTCCGTCACCGGGGAGACCGCCGCCTGTTGGCTCCGGACGAGTTCGGCGGCGGTGGCGTGGCGTTTGGCGATCTCCTCGCCGTGGAGGCTTCGAGCCTGCCAGAGCTGCCTCCGGGCCATTGTCACCATCTGGTCGTCGGCGAACTTGAGCAGAGCTGCGATGCACCTGTAACAAATGGATTTCAGTTCAACAACGTGCTATCGCGACAGAGGGCCAGATCGTGATAGTGAACAACGTCTCCAGCCATCTATAGCGGCAACGCGATGAGGTAAAATTAACTCGTAACGCATCACATATTATCCAGATATTCGCAATCTATAGCCCAACTAAAAATCTACCCAGTTCAGTTGTAAAATATTCGTTCAAGGACAAAGGCTCCTGAGAATATTTAGGCCTGAGCGACTTTTGAATGCTAAATTGGTATAGAATGGGGCGACAAAGTTGTTATATCCCTTATCGAGAAAAAAAAACTGTTGGACTTGCCATGGAATAACTATTGAGACATGCTCTAATCCCCGAAAATGTCATTAGTTGTCGTTAGTAACGGCTCTTGCTAGTCCATCCATCGTTCACTGGTAACTAAGAAATTGGCAAATATTTTCCATTAGTTTGACACCAGCGTGTCAACTATCAGACATATTACACCTGTTGCTTTCAATTGGCTGCACATACGCTCAATAACTCACTTGTCCACTCTCTTGTTGACGCGTCCCTCCAGGTACTGATATTTCAGGACCCGGTGGAACGCCTCAACGTGCATGTTTGTAGACACGCCCGCCGCGTCCCTCCTGCCCAGCGTCCATTTGGGGACGCACTCCAGCCAGGTGGCGCGGAAGTAGCGGCCGAACTCGCGGGTGTTGGCGTGTGACAGCAGGCTATCCGCCACCGCCTTGGCTGCCGCCACCGCCTTGGCCTCCTCCGCCTCATGCATGATGCCCCACAGGGCATCGTAGGCCTCTTGGCGGGCAACCATGTCCTGCCGGCGAAAATAAACTTAGCAAACCAGCCATGTTAGAGCAATAAGCTCTATCCTGCCTAGTAAAGGGTGGTGCTTGGGCGATGCTAATTCAAACAGGGGCTGAAACGGCAAGGGGGGGGGGGGTCCAACGGACCCCCCCCCCCCCTTTATACGTTCGTAGCTGGAAAAAAACACCAATACGGGCGAGGGTTAAAAATGACCGAAATACTTTCTTCATGTTATGAGCTGATCTTTTGAACGCCGCCTGCGGCATGGCTCTACATGGACCAGGAGCCGAGTTAGAGGGGGGGGGGGGGTAAAAACGTCACTCCCCAAGCACTCCACGGAAAATACCGACCACCAGCGGGTTAAGAATGTTGATATTGCTAGACCCAATCTTGACCTTGAACTTTGCTTACTCTTGCTCATCAATCACTTGGTACGTTTCCCATACGAGTACATTTTAAGAATGTTGACTGAGTTAACTCTGGAGAGCGGTTATTGTGTCAACGCATAATGCTACTTTGCTCATTCTTTACCTTTGACCTGCACTTGACCCTACCCTGATCTTACAACCGAAATTTTAAGAATTTATCAAAAACGTCCCGTTGAGCGTTTTAGTTTGCCACCTTGCGCGTCTCGCTACGCCTGTTGGTTCGGAAGTTATCGGCTGGATTTAACGCCAGACTCAGGCATTTGTGGCGGGTGGCGAAATACCTCACCAACTGCCGGGAAAATGGTAAATCTTGGTATTTGATGACCGGTGAACTGAACATGCAACCTGAAGATGGCCTTACACGTTGGGGTTTATGTCGCGGCAGGCGACAAACGTACTTACGCTGATCATGGGCAGCTTGCCCTTCCACGCTTTCACCACATGCCACGCGCACAAAAGGTGCTGTGTAGCGTGCTGCCCTGTAGTGTTGGTCCACGCGTTGTAATATGCCGGGGCCTTGTCCGACATGAAATACTTTGCCGTGGGAAAAGGCGTGTTGTCGTCGCTGCACGCTCGCATGAGGCCACCTAGAAGGCAGGATATCGCCGTCTCGTCTTCGCGGCTGGAGATAAGCCAGGCAACGGGAATACCGGCGCCGTATTCGTTGAGGACGAGCACCGTGATCAGATGGAAGTCATGTCCTGTGAAAAACATGCGCCCACAAAGCTAGCCACCAATGTACGTGCGAGTACATGATAAATGGGCCCAATCCGAAGCAGACCAAACCAATCAGAGTTCACCACCAGTAGAGACAAAGCAATGAGTATGTCGAGTGCCATGCACCATACCAAGCAAGCCGACAAGCGGCAGATACTGAAGGAAACTGTTCGCCTTAATCGGTCCGAATAAATGGCGGAAACAAACAGTCTCGTAATCGCACGAGTACCATCGTAAGATTCGCTACATACACGCTCTAAATGGATTCCTCTCTGGAAGTTTTTTCCCTCCTAGACCATAGCTCTGCCCATGGCCCATAGCCCCCCTCTCCCTGATAAAAACAAATCATTTCCTGGGTGAACAGTTTCCTTCAGTGTTTACCACCACAGCACAGCAAGCACAGGTCACTTGGTGAATACCTCTGCACCAAAGCCAGCAGTGTCAAATCAGCCCAAACGTATTTCGATCGAAGCCCATTGCAGCAGTACAATAGTGTGTTGTTTGCATCCTCACCACTTGTGCCGTGGGTGCCATCCATACAAACGACGGCACTCCCATGCTGCACAAACTTCTTTAGCTGGTGACTTGTACAAAAGCCAAACACGAAGTCGTCGGCCTGAAGAGACTCAGTGCCGCTCGAACCCTCTTCGTCTGGCAGCTTGAGCGTCAAAAGATGGTGCTGGAACCCATCGATTTACATCAGCCGCCGTGGGGCTATGGTGATCTGATCGGGAATGCAAATAAACTACTGAAACAGTAAATCCGTGCTTCTCAAAGCAGCTGCTCTCAACACACTGGAATGGTACAGTCACACTAGCACTTCGATGAGCAAGTTCCACAAAAAATGTGTTAAAAGGAATAAGGCATTGTGGTTGTGTAACTCAGTCTATATTCTCTTTGTTCCAATCTGACAGTGATCGCTATATATCTATAAGGCTGCCACACAAGGCCGCTAGGCGGGCCTATAAACCTTTTATTACCTGGTCTGAAGATCGGAGCTGCTCCGCGTGCATTCGGACGCTGACCACTTCGTTGGAATGCTTGTTGCTGTCGCCGCCCGCACTGATGCCGATCGATCGGCATATGTTTTGAATGTCCTTCCTTTGGACCCAGAATGCCCGACTTGGGCCGGCGTCGGAGTCGTTGCCGCATCGCTCCCTCATGTTACGCATGACACGTGCCGTGGAAATACCAGCAGCGAGTTGTGCTGAAATTTAGCACAAAACATCGTGTATTACGCATAGCATAATGCACTGATCTCATAAAAAGCACACGCTTGCCGGGAACATATTTTTCACACATTACTGTGTAAGGGTCATGAAAAATGTTGACAATCAAAGTACCAGCAATAAAAAACTTCCTCGGTTAGCGGAGACATGCTATCGGCTTCAGCTCTGTGGACTGCACTTTTTATGACATGATATTTGATTTTACATCGCTACTTTTCACACCATCATACTCAGAATGCAACCTGTTTTTATCATAAACAGGTGCAATAAAAAAACTTTGGGGGGGGGGGGAGTATCCCATCGACCCGTAGGGTACGCTCGACTTCAGCCCCGTTCAGAAAATGTGTTCCTAAGTACATAGAGACTAGAGGTAATGGTTGCAAACGAGTACAACGTTCACAGTCACACAGTTACGCCTGTGGTCTTCTGTTTGTTTTTCATGAATTTATTCCTAATACATAAGAACATGTTCAGCGCACCTTTCACATTATATATGACGCCAGGGAAAACAAGTAGCATTATCATACCTTTCGCAGTGGCGCGGTCACCGGCTGGAATGCGGAGATGCGGCAGGTTAGCAGCGCCCTCACTGTGCCCGTGGTGGTGAGGGTGCAGCACGGCCGTGACGGTACCGTCGTCATGCTGTAGCATTAGCAGGGTGGACGTGCATTTAACGCCCAGCTTGGAGGAACCCTGCGACTTCAGTCGGCGACGGCCAGACCCGGAGGGCGCGTGGACACCAGACCGTGAACACTCGAAGAGGGTCTTTTGCCCGGGACGAGAAGAAACGCGGCGGTAGAAAACACCTCTCCGTCGTTCTTGGTCCATTTTCCAGTTGTCGAACTCTAGAATAAAGAAAGCATAGCTTCGAAAAGCTGGAATAGATACAAGGGCCATATACCTTTGACCTGCAATTCGGGTTTTGCCAAGTTATAATGGAAGGGACGAAAGCCTCGACAACAGAACATGAAATTTGTACCTTTAAATTTTATCACGACTTATAAGACTTATAACGGCGCTGTCCACCCGAGAAATGACGGGATAGCTGTTACATTCCGCTTCGCGCCACATTGCAGATTTATGCGGATGCTTTTAGCTCAGCCCTTGTTTTTTAGTGGGGTCCAATGAACGGCTTTTCTATGACACGTCCTAACTGATAACTTTCATCCATGATAGATACAGGGTGATCAAGAAGGAATGACATAAAGTTAGCCCCCACGAGAGGCGCATAATATTATATAGTTTAATGCATAAACAGCACACCGTTAGAAAGAGAAATGTTGGACATTTGACATAACACAAACGGAATTCAGTTGTGACACTCCGTTTGTCTAAAGGAGGTGCTCGAAGAGTGCCCACCCCTCTACGCGCAGTAGAGCTCGGCCCGGCGCCGGGTGTGCCGTGCCATGCGTCTCAGATGGTTGACGACCATCGTGAGGCCGTAGTCCTTGACGACTAACGACAGCCTTCAGCTCATCAAGGGTCTTGCTCTTGAGTTCTCTCCACGATTTCTTGAGCTGCTTGGGGTCACAAGCTCAAGTACAGGCCGAAAAAAACAGGCCTGCATGATGACCAGGGATACTGGGCCCTTGCCGGTCCTTAAAACGTGCAGAGTTTAAAAATTCTTCAAAAATCAGCTAAACATCCACTTTCACAATGCTTCAGGAAACCTGGGCACGTCTTTCTGGAATGTGTGGACAATTCTGCACAAGAAACTGAACTGGAAACCATATCGCCCGATCCTAACGACCGTCCTCTCCGCTGACAGCATGGTGTGGATGATGGAAGCGTGCATCTTCGGCTCAGTCAAGCGGAAGAATGGCTCAAACGGGTGATATGCATCTACGAGAAGTGGTTTATGCTAAACAGTCACCCTACAGGAAGAATACAGTCTCCCGGTAGCCTAATAATCCACAGGAGCCGATGCATACAAGAAGGCGCTCGGAGCAAAGGTCATGGTCGAGTGGAGATTAAGCGAGACCTCTTCGAGCACCTCCTGTAGACAAAGTGTCACAACTGACCTCCGTGTGTACATATAATGTTAAATGTCCAACACTTCTCTTTCTAACGGTATGCTGTTTGTATGCAAACAGTATGTAAACTTTTCTAACGGTATGCAAACTTTCTAACGGTATGCAAACTTCTCTTGGAGCCTACGGTTAGTAGTGGCTTTCCTATGCGCTACTGTTTTCAGACCCCAATCTAACCGGCAATTGCCTTTCAACATTTAAATTTAAAGTATTTGCTCTGCCTGGAGAGATAATTTTGTGCCATTGAACTAAAAAGGTTAGTCACCTGGCCAACTGGGTTAGCATACCATTTTTGCCTTGCCATTTTTGACTATCATTTTCTCCTTTTCCCCAGGGTTCCGAAATGATAAGGGTGAATCGAAAGCACCTTGAATCTTGATCCAAAAGGTGTCTCCAAAAGTAGTATCCGAGGTCGTTTCCGACTCCGACTCTGAATCAGATCAGATTTAAAAAAAAAATCAACTAAGCGTGGAATCAGATTCCGAGCGAGTTGGAAGCAAAGACGACATGGAATTGTAGCCGATTCTAATAGCAGGGTTTAAAAAAAAAATGTGTTCGGCAGCACATACATAAATATGCATTTGCCCACCTGTGTGGAATAAAAGCCCACTACGAAAAAGACATACCAGCCTTGGAAGACAAAGATACTTCGATCTTCTCCTCAGCTGAGCGGGCGTCGTGCTGTTCAGCCAGATGTTTCCGGAGGTCAGCACGGTTACTGAAGCGCGCTTGGCAGCCTCCTTCAAAATCGTGTGCCCCATAGCAGCATGCCTGCAAGTAATTTCAAAATGTTACCAGGCAGCCCCTGTGCTGAACAAAGCATATCCTATTATCCTAGTACACATACAACATTCATTTCATCCCTGACCTTTATTTCAAGTGATATATGTTGTGAAGCAGCATTCCAAAGGTTCAAAAAAACAAAAAAAAAACGGTTCCGATCGAGAAACGTCATATTGCTAGTTTCAGCTTAAGAGGTCGACTCGGGTGTCATCGGACTCGACATTTCCGATGAAATCGATTGGTTTTGTCTCGAAGCTCTGGCTCAATCATGGCCAATATGGTATGAGGTAAGGTGGCAGCTACCGTGTGCGATCCAAAATGTCGATAAGGCATGTGCCGGAAAGGGTTAAATCAAGTGATCGGCTTTTTTGTTAGGATGAAGCTCCTTCAGCCCAATGGGACCATTGCGGAGCTACGGGATTTTAGGTTTGGGGGTGACAGTGGTCTGGCCATTTGCCACCAGATGGGTGAGCCGCCGCAGCCCAGCTGCCCCAGGAGGGGTGCCCCACGGGCATCCTCCACCCGTGGGGCAACCCCGCAAGAGGCTACCGACGGGCCACGCAGACGGTCACCCCGGGGTCGGGGTATGCTCACTTGGAGCATGCCCCAGTTAGCCCCCTTCCGGTGGCACCAGCCCGGGGCACGAAGGGCGGCGGGAAGGACGAGGACATGACGCCGCCGAGGATTGTACTTTGAGGGACGGATGGTTTTCAATCAACCACGTCATCTTATAATACTTACAAAGTTTTGGGGCGGTAGCTTCTCTGGTTGTTGATCACCCGCAGACACGTGAGCGGACCGCAAGTGCCTGCGCAGAGCCTCAGCTGAGACAGCCACGTGCTGACACCAGTCGCAGGCTAACTTCTGCCAATTGAAAGAAAATTGCAACACATCATGTCAGCTGACGATTTTCACAACCAACACAAAGTTGTATTGCCTGTAACATTACTAGGCCGGAGTATGCCGTTCCACACAGTCACGACCAGTGAGCGTAGCAGGTACCTATGTATCCAAATATGAATAATTGCAATAAGATGTGTGGTCACTATCTGCGTGTAATCCCAATGGGCCAATATGTAATATGTGATCCAAAGCGCGGAATCCCGGAAAAAACGGCTCACAAAGAAAATTGTTGTACGATGGAAGTAAACATGAAAATCAATCTGCATACCGAGTTTCTGTGAGTTGTGGTCAGGTGTTCCCTCAAGTCGGACAAAGCATGTGATGAGAAGGAGCACAGCTGGCACTGGTGCACCTGCAGCATGAAATAATATGCTATCAGTCAGTTCGGACCGAGAGCATTGGTCGGGGGGGGGGGGGGAGGACCCGGCACATCAAGGGATATAATCCTATGCAAGATTATAAATGTTCACTAATGTTATGCATTCACATTGTTCTGTCTGAGTTTATATCAATTTCAAAACTACCTTCACTATCAACATCATTAAATTTTCATTTTATCTAAAGAGACATCAAGAGAACTGTAAAAGGGAAATTAACCATTAACCTTTACCCGATTAGCGCTGGGGTCTCCGACCGAAAACACAGAGCTCAGGGAAGTAGCTGTTACCGGCGTTATCTCCCGACGAACGGGTCGTAGCGAGCAACGCAAGTTGACACAATATGGAGTGAGCACAGTGAGCACATTCTAATGAGCACTTAAAGGAAATAGTTCACTTTCCTGAAATTAGTATTTTGCTATGGATTCATGATTGTTTATGCGCAAAATGATAAGAAAATAACATAAAATCTTTTTGCAAAAAGGATTATTTTCTACATTTTAATATAGGCAGAACTATAATTTATATAAAATAATGTTTGACGCGGAAGCTTATTACGCGTCGACCAATCATATTGCGTAGCTCAAACCTACGCATGCTGCCTTGGCCGTAAGCAGCATGCTGATTGGCTGACAATGACGTGGCTGCATTCCTCTACAAGGCACGCATTCCCCTGTAAGCCACTTTTCGGAACGAGAAATGGAATATCTTCGTCTAGGGTGATCGTTGGGCCATAAAAGCCTCTGATTTGTACTAGTCTCAGCTCAAGGTACAAGACCGCTATTCCAGTTCAAAACCCCATGTTAAAAGTGAAGTATTTCCTTTGAAGGAAATCATACTGCAACATTGATAATATGTATCAATGTTCGCAACTGAGCCGAATAAATGTGCCCTGTGAATGCTGATTTATGGTCATGTATGTGAGCATGTTCATGTTTGAGTGCCCTCACCGTGTGCAGATTCAAATGAATAAACATCTGGATGCCATCTGGATCTTACCATGGGGTGATGTTCTTGAACATGCAGCCTGAGCTGGTATTTGGACTGCAACTTTTGCCCACATCTAGAGCATTGCAGCTTCTGAAAAGTAATAAGCTGTCAGAATTTGAAAGTCAGAAATTGCCGGTCCCGTGGCTCAGTCGGTAGAGCGTCGGACTCCGTGTGGTGAGAGCACACGTCCCGGTTGTAAAAGTCCCGGTTCGAAGCGCGACGGGCGCTCGATGTTTATGAGCCTCCTGACAGGTATGGTTGTTGGAGGCAGGCCGTAGCCAGTCGAAGTCAGTGAGGAGACCAGCCGTGCGCGGCTCTGTGCGTAGGTAGTAGGTACCTACGTTAAACTCTGGTTCGAAATTCTGCCATAAGACATGAATTGCGCGATCGGAGGGTAGAGGGCAGGGTCACTGCAACAAGCTCTGCTTAGCGGGGGCTCTATCCTTGTGAATCCTTCCACTCAAAAGGTTTGTACTAAACTTGTTTTAACCCGCGCACCGACGGGGGTCTGCGCCAACTTCGTACCGACGGGGGGGGGGGGGGCGGATGAACGCCCCCCTGAGATCTCGAGAACGAAGCAAGATAGCGAAAAGCGGTAAACGGCAAGGGATACGCACGGACAAGGGCTATAATTTTTACTAAGGTCATTTTCAGGTCAGGTCAAAGATGACGTCACAGGGGTCAAAAAAGTCAAAATGGGGGCGCTAGGTATGGAGAGTTTTTCTCGAATAACTTTCGAACTAGTCAATATAGGAGCAAACTAAGGGCATCATCGTGATCCTCTCGTCAATCCGCATCGAATGATATATATGTTGACCTCGAAAGGTCAAGGTCAAAGGTTGACCTCAGGTCACGTGACCTCGAGGTCATCATGTATATCATTCGATGCGTCTTGACGAGCTGAACACAATGAGACCATCCGCGCGGCTGTATCTTGTTCCTGTACGGAGTTATTGGCAAAAAAACCACTGGTGACCTTTGATGACGTCACATGACCTCACAGCTGCCCAACAGCAAAACAGACCTCAAGGTAGTGAAGGTTGCTCGTATATGAAGTCATGTATGGTATATGGGGCCATTCCGACCCGTTTTAGTGGTAAAAACAGGGAGTTGATTTTTCCCCCATTGACTTATAATGGGGAGGTCGAGAAATTGACCTGACCTTAGGTCATCGATATTAAAATTCCGAGATAAACAAATTGTAGCTACTAATGACCTTATAACATCCTGCGACTTTCAAAGGCCTCCGACATCTACTGTAGCTCTGGCACGGTGACAAAGTTGCAAAAAAGTAACTTGAGGTTGGGTCGTTCAAAGTGACCTGGTGACCTGACCTTGAAAGTTAGGAGGTTTTAACTTGCACACCATGTGTAAAATTGATGAGAGAATAGTCGTACCAAAGTTAACGGCGCGTAGGTTTTCCCGCTATTCGCGAAAAACCTCAGGGGGGGGGGGCGGATATCCGCCCCCCGTCGGTGCGCGTGTTAAAAAAGAATGTAATAAAATATGGGCCTACCTGTGCATGCATACACATGGACAACAAATGGACACAATAGATGCAGGCAAACAAGCATGCTGGCATACATGCTTGAGCTCCCAAAAACACAGAGAGTGACAGAGAGACAGAGGGAGAGAGAGAGAGAGAGAGAGAGAGAGAGAGAGAGAGAGAGAGAGAGAGAGAGAGAGAGAGAGAGAGAGAGAGAGAGTGAGAGAGAGAGTGAGAGTGAGAGTGAGAGTGAGAGTGAGAGTGAGAGTGAGAGTGAGAGTGAGTCGTGAGAGTGAGAGTGAGAGTGAGGGTGAGGGTGAGGGTGAGGGTGAGGGTGAGGGTGAGGGTGAGGGAGAGAGAGGAGAGAGAGAGAGAAAAAAAACTTGCTTACCTCTGGCGGCAAAGTCTGCTGGGCTTTAGACATCCCATCATGAATGGAGTCAACAAAGTCATCCTCAGAAAGGTCATCCATCTGAAGCATAACAATATTTATATCTGGGTGCCTGCCATGATGTTTGGTAATAGGTATTTAACAATATACGTATAATAGTCATCAATGTTATGTAGAAGCACATGTCACCAGGTAAAAATGTTGACTATATAACCTCTGTTAAGGTCAATGATGTCACATAGAGGCTTTTTTGGGTCATAATAGTTTTTAAATAGATTTTGATTGAAAAGTGATACAGACCTGTGGCTGTGGGCTGTGATTGGTAATGGTGTCATTGTGTTTCTCTCATCGAGACATCAAATGATATGCAGCATAACCCATTTGAGTGGCCTTTTGCCCTTGACCCAAGATAAGCATTTGACCTTGCTTTTACTCAAAAAATTATGTATTCTGGTGTGTCTCATTGAGAGAAACACCATGGTGTTCTGCCTATGCCCTATACCTGTTAGTTCAAAAGTTATTTATTAAAAACAATTGGCATCCATATAAGCTATATTGAACCTCAAATATAATTAGAAGCAAGAACAGTGAAGTTTTATCATGTTTCAGTTTTCATTAGCATAACAAGGGCAGGGGAGGGGGAGGTTGGGGCTAGCATAACTTAAGCATAACAGGGGGAGGGCACTGGCAGGTCAAAGACTGGGCCTTGGACTGGGCCATGTTTCACCGGTGATAGCAGCACGGTACTATTACACGTGTCAAATTGGGTTTCCATGGAAACATAAAAAACCATGGCATCGTCAATCTGTGTGATGTCATCAAATATTGCTACCAACATCTTCACGGCTGTGCGATCAAACAAATGTATCAAACACATTCAACGAGACAGCAACTCTGTTCCAAACGCAGCTATGAAAAAGCTCATGGATTACACGAAACGTCATTAGTGCGACATAATCACATTACGTCAGCTCGTGCAATTTAATAGCAGTGTGCTATCACCGGTGAAACAGGGCCCAGGTCAAAAAAGTGTTGTGTAATTTATGGATGGCCTGGGCCCCTTACCCTAGAAATCAAACTGAACCTCAACCAAACTTATGCATGAACTAGGTGGCAAACTTGACATAAATAAATGCCAGAATATTTAATTTTGGCACTCACAGGGCAGCAAAACAAACTATTGATGATGAAACACTGGTACCCGTTTCATGTTTGTCATATCTCTAGCATACAGATCAAGATAGATTAGATAACACAATTAAAGTACCTCCTGCTGTACGTGTGGCCACCGACCTTTCATCTGCTGCCAATAACCACCTTCTTGTGACCTTCAGCGTCGATCCAAGCACGGTATACAAAAATGATCCAAAATCAAGTCCAATATTGAGTCACGGTGTCTGGATTGAGTTTGCAAAACGCGCCGCTTTTGGGTTCCAGGATGGTTCTAGGCGTATTTCGCTTTGGTCGAGTTGGGCTGCCAAACTTGGCAGTTTCGCAAAAGCGTAGCCCACAATTGCATATTTACGTCTGGACAACGAGTTGCGGGGAAAAGTGCTGATTTGGTTGCAGTTTTAGGAGCCGGTGATTAGGCTGGATTTTTTGGTTACTTTTTCGTTCTGATTCATATATTTCATAGTGTTTGGCTTTTGAATATTTTAGTTCTTTCAGATAAATATTACTTGCCTTACAACTTTTGTAAAAACGTTTCATTTTTTATAAGCCGACCTTCAGAGTCCTAAAAATACATCAGCACTACAATCATTGTAAACAAACAAATGGAGCACCACTTGGCTCTGTTCCAAGGCGCTTTTTAAGTTTATCTGGTGGTTTCCGTACTCTTCTACGTCGTTTTGTTGGATGTTTTGGATCCCTTAAGATTGACTTATATCATATTTCATATGATTTAAGAAGCATGTGACTGAAAACAATCCGAAGTATCCAGGAGGCTGACAGAGGTCCTGACTCCTGAGCAATATCAATATCAAGTTGAACTTGAAGTTATGAAATTTTGGTTGATAAACGCAAATTGATCGGGCTCATATATCAGCAAAAAAAGTAAAATTAAAAGAGCTTATTGGCCGAAAACAAGCTATAATATTGCAGATCTTGGAGCAATACTGAAGAGCACGCTGAGCAGGATCATGCCAGAAAATGTTGACTGATGAGCGCATATTGATGTATTGGTATGAATATTGAATGATAACTTACAACAGCAAGATAAATTAGTGCCAACTTTCAAGTTAAAAATCTAGAATGAATGGACTTTGGCAGCTTTACTATGCTTAGATGCTATGCAGATTGTAATGTGCATCAGGTACTCAGTGTTTGGCAAATGAAACATGCGATCATTCCTGCTACTGCAACTGGAGGAGAAAGCTTGGATCACTAAATCCACTTTATGTTGATTTTGATGTTAATCATTACTGTATTTCTTGAAAAAAGGATTGTTATAAAATTGTCGATGTGACAATCCATGTAACAATGTGATCATATGATGTGTTCATAGTCAATCATGCAGTGGTGGATCCGGGGGGGGGCAAAATGGGCATTTCCCCCCCCAAACGGCATAATTTTAACATCACGCCTATGGACGATGCATGGAAAGAATCTATAAATTGTCATGGTTTGCCCCCCCCCCCCCCCAAAAAAAAACATTGAGCTGGATCCGCCTCTGCATTCATTATAGTGATTCATGATTGTTGGTCCAATATACAATGGCATCTCAATCTCAGCGTTTCTTCCTGTGGATGGCCAGCAGTGACTCAGAGCTTAGAAGTATTAGTTTTCTTCACAGGGCTGGGATAAAAAGTACTGAGGGTAATCTTCCACCAAGGAATTTGAGTTTTGACATGGTATGAGATGTAGGCACAAGTAGGTAGGTGCTTAGTTCCTATAGTCAGCAGTTGTGTAGGTTTAGTTGGGTTAGCTTAGATTAGGTTATGCTAGTTTTTAATTTGCCAAGTGTTCATTAAAATGTGACCTGAGCAATGAGCATACCTGAATAACCAGACAGCTGACCTAAGTCCTAACCTCAATCGTCACACATATTTACAGCCTACCCAAGACCTGCATAGCAGTAGCACCCAGTTATATCACCCTAACTCAATCTTACCTGCTAACCTTCAACTTGCCTATAGTTAGCTCACCTTGCCAAGCTGCATCCAGGGGAACAGTCAACTGAGGAACTGGCTCATTGGGTGGCTGGTGTGAGTCTGTGCATTTAAAGTGTTTCTTCTCTGAAGCTGCCCTGCACTGCTGTATGTCATGTTGGATGCTCAGAAAATGTGGGAAATGATTACTAAGCTACTTTAGTGCTTTGTTAATGCTCGAGACATGAACAAGTACAGATCCCGCAGGGTCCAGCTATGATATAGGTGCTAGGTGAGTATGTTATGTGAATGTGCTGTTCCCTGTTTGACCATAGTAAGTATACAAACAAGCAAAGGGTCACAGTTATATTCAATCTCCACATAAACATGCAACAAAAACGGCATATAGCCTCACTCCGAAACACACCACAAATAGCTTAAGCCTTTGCAGGCACAAAAATGCTTTGATTTACAGAACAGGTATAGGTACCTCTGTCCTTTGGGATCTTGCTGCCAAGTTGAGGTACGATGACTGAACTTCAGGATTGATCAACCTTTTCTTCTTAGCCACTGCTTATATACGAGAAAGACCAAATGCTTGTTTGTAAACTGCCTTGAAAATTTAATGATCCACCTTCAATTCTGACATGAAGGCACAAATAAAATAGTTCCCTCTCCTTTTGGAATACACAAAACAAAATATTTAATAACTTCTAGTGGATGGACAAGAGCAATTAGCATAGCTTCCCCTCAAGTTGAATTCTGGCACTGATGAATAACACAAACACTGACGCTTATTCGCTTCATATTTTGTAACAAACGCGCAAAAACTGCAATATAACAATACTATATGCTTCTTGACAAAATGCAAAAGAAGTAAAAATTTAGCCCTGATGGCATTCATTCTTGGTGGAAACGTAATTACAAAATATTTTGTAGTAACCATTAAATTCCGGCCGAAAACAGTGCACGGTTTCAAAAAGAATCATTCCAATGACGGTCCATTCTTGCGGTCCTGAAATCGCCACTATTTCCGGCCTCTCCAACGCAACTCGTTGTCCAGACGTAAATATGCCCCACAATTAGCGCGCGGCTGCAGCTTAGGCGTTTCGCCATATTTGTCGCATAAACCTCAGAACTGTCTTTTGTTCTTTTGCTGCCATTTCTGAAATTTTTGCAACCATATTAAGGTTTCCTTTACAGCAGTAGCAAAAAAACTGCATTTCCCAGTGTGGGGGGTCGAACGGACGCCCCCCTCCTCGGTTTTTCGCGAATAACGCGCGCAAAAAGCGGCTGATCTCGACGAAACTTTCAGTACCCTAGAGTCAATCAATTTTACACATACCCTGAAAATTTCATGACCCAATTACCTTTGACCTGTGACCTATTTCTCGAGACCCTGTTCGGCGGAATCATCCGCGCGATTCGGCGTGTGTCGGCTCATATTGATCTTCGCAGTCCGAACGTTTGCAGTCTTTTCGTGTTTTAAGCGTTCATACCTTAGCCGTCAAACATGGGAATGGATGGCAGCAACGTTTTAACCCTCCCTGAACCTATCGGTTTTCTACATACGCGCCGGCCGAGGGGGGGGGGGGGGGTACGAACCCCCTCGCCGTTTCGCCTCTGGCAGAGCTAAAGCGTCGCGTAAAAAACGAGCGTGTGCGCCGTTACGAGACGCAGAGAGCCAGAGATTGATACCCGATTTTAAGGTCCTAGGTCAACCGGTGACCTCTGAGGTCAGGTCAAGTGCCCCAAGGTACGGTTCCGTTTTTGGTGAATTCCTTCGCAAAAAAACGGCTGCAGAGCCGCGATTTTGGCAGCATCGTGTTCGCCTCGCTCAGGCGCGTCGAATGATCTACTGTTTATTTGGGTGAGGTCAACTTAGGGTGTTGACCTCAGATCACGGTCAGGTCAGCACCCCCAGGTCACGAAATTGGTCAAAATAGGTCATGTCGCATATCATTCGATTCGGCAGGTCTTCTTGAGTCCATTGGGGGCTTTTCCGACTCGCTAACTCAATTTGATCGGGAGTTATTGGCTAAAAACTACTAAGACCCTAATGACGTCATAATTGACGTCACGCAAGGTCAACATTGCAAAAATAACGCATTTAACCTTGCAAGGAGTGCACTAAATCACGATTATGTGTGCTTGAGATAGTTGGAGATCGTTCCCGGCGCCAGAATAGCAGTTTTTATTTTTCCCCATTGACTTATAATGGTGAGGTCACGAAAATGACCCGACCTCATATGACCTTTAGGAAAAATTCGAGATATGCAAGCTGTGAGAATCCTAATGAATACTAGGTTCTGCAATACTAGGTTCTTTTATTTCCCTGTGAAGGCTTCTCTGGCAGTGAGGGCGTTGCGAAGTTGTGACATCTGAAGACCGTGCAGAGGTTCACTTATGACGTCATAGGTCAGTTACCTGACCTGACCGGAAAATGCAGTTGGGGTCACAAGAATTAACTTGAATCAATGGTCAGGTATGCCAATTTTCAGCTTTCTATCGCTCGCGTGGTCGGAGCTATCGCGAAAAAACCCTATGGGGGTGGTGGGCGGCACCCGCCCCCACCCCCTCGGCCGGCGAGGGTTAAATTTGTTCCACTCATTAGTCATATTGTTCCTTGGATATATGCCTAAATATACCTTCCTACCTATACCCTTGATCGTTAAAAATTACAAAAACGTGTTACCAAGTAATATCTTCATTTATTGTTTGCATTCGTTTGTGCCACGCCAGTTATTATATTTACCTACCATACCTATACCTACCACATAAAGAAGTCATCGTATGACAAACAGCGGGTCTTACCTACTACCAACTTGAACACACCCTGTCAGTTCAGCAATGCACCTAGCTTCACCAATCACAATGTCACACGTTTCAGCCAAGCCCATCAACATTCATAAGTCCAAATACCCTCAACGCCACCATATGTCGCCATGCGTACCGTAATAAGATGACCACAAGTAGCGGCCATCAATGTATGCCGGCAACGCTACAGCCTCATCGCAACATCATCAGTGGCATCAAAGCAAACCAGTCATCAGAGCAAACCGATCAGTCTCATCAACATTTTACGATTTAAATTCATCCACAATCGTGTCCAGATAATCTCACTAATTCAACTGGCTTCGGAGCACTCTTCAGCTTCGGTCATACAATAAAAAAAAACAATTCCAGCGAATAGTGTTGTAAATTTTCAAACAACCTGCGGTTATTTGATCATAATTCATACATTACGTAGGTATGACTCGTTACTTCTTTATCATGTAAAAGCTGAAGGAACTATACAGGAGTAGTTTGTGTAGTTTAAAAACTAAGTGACTATATTAATGGATTAGTTTTATCACCTCCAGATCCCATCCCATGCGGACATCAACCTATTCCTTCATCACTCCAGGCCGACCAGTCACCAGAGTTTATCCAGCATCCATCGACAGCAGAGCCTCAATACACATTACACATCCAGGACAGCGAATTTCACTTCCGACAACCGACAAGCTGGCTCACAGAGTGACGTCCCTCATGTCACTGTGGACCGTGTACACACTCCAGTGTCAATACCCGCCCACAGTTCACAGTTCACAGAGTATCCAGATCACGGAGCTGTACAGTTTCCTCAGGCACAGCTCACAGAGCGTCCTGCTCCTGCGGCTGTGGACACCGCTGAGCTACCGTCCACAGCTCGTTCATTCGTCCGTGGTAGCGCTGCACATCGTCATACACGGCTATGAAGTATTCGTCGCTCTTGTAGCAGAGGCCGAGCTCGTCCAGGCGCATGTGGAACTCGGTCACGTGACGGTCCAGGTGATCTGACCCCAGGTCGAGGTCACCGGCCGTCTGTACGTAGACGGTCAGCTCGTGGATGTAGCTGAGACCGACGGTTGGCTGCGAATGGGAATGGGAATTCATCATAAAACGAAGTTGAGTCTGAACGAGACGCAGGCACTAACACCGGAACAGCCTTTTATGCGAGTAGAGTTCCCAGCACACTTTCTTGTTTTTAGCTCTCAGATTGCCATTATTGGACGGGGAACTCGTGGCGTGGCTTTCGGTGTATGCCGGTATTTAGTGTGGCACTCACTGCGTGTACGCCGGTGTTGGGCGGACTGCGGTGCAGACGCCGCGGCAGGTATACCATCACCGTCATGTGACAGACGGAGGTGCCGTTGGACGCCTCCTCCCGCCAGACTCGCAGTACGCCGGCCGGCCGGGTGGGCTCGATACGCTCCAGGTGCGTGTTGATCCCTGCAAGGATGGAGATAGACACTCGTGACGATCGTTGCCGCTTTTTATTTTGTCGCCAACACTTCAGGCACACCACTCGTGGATGGATAACTGAATATATTTTGTCCTGGGTCAGGATTTTTTTACTATCCCGATAACGTTACCTCATAACACACCGATTATAAATTGGAGCTGTATATTGACAAAACGAATATTTCAAATTAAAATACACCCGAATCCAGAGACTGCAAATGATTATGCGTATTTTCAAGTTGCAGACTATGAAAGCTGCACATGTTGCACTTGTTAGCATATAGTTAGTTATCATAAAAACGTTACTGAAATGCCGCGTCTCTTGTTTACTCATAAGTAAGCTGTGGCGCATCCACCTACCTTCCCGGTAAAGGTGCAGCGGCAGAAGTCCACTCCACACAACCGATAAGCTCGACTCACACCGGTCCAGACGTGAGGTGGCGAACGCCGCGTTATAATAGTGCCGCTTCTGGATTCCGTCGGGAAACTCGCCGAGAACCTCAAACCGAGGACATTCGCGGCCTGTCAAGGGTCACACGAAGTCAGATGGAGTCAGTTGGGGTCAGATGGGGTCAGACGGAGTCAGAGAGAGTCACAGAACGCCTAACAAAATTAAACTGTGGTCATATGAGCTCATGATATCAGTGTGCTATCTGATAATGTGCTCAGAACAGCACTAGCGAGGAAGAGTGAGTGTAAACGTCCCACGGCGATAAATGACATTTCTTTAGGCTGTGAATTTTTTTTTTTCCGGTGATGCTGATCAGAGCTGTACCACAATGTGAAACCATACGCATCGGCGGCGGAACGTGGGAGGGGGGGGGGGGCACCGTGCCTCCCTTTGATTTTGGCATTTTAACATAAGCCCTATGGGCGTTGCATGGAAAGAATGGGACCAAAAGTCGGCAGTGCCCCCCCCCCCCCCCTTAATTGAAGGTGTCCCGCCGCCACTGACCATACGGCAAACATTTTGAGGCCTTGACAGACGGCGAAAGTAGACGGCTGCATTTCGTGCGACACACCTCGACACAGTCTGCGCATGGTGGCGATGGTGAGGTTGCTGCGCCGGTCCAGAAGGCGCTTTCCCATCGGCCGGAACCGATGGGTGCTCTCGTGTGGAGTCCCGTACAGCCAGATCTCGTAGTAGGAGCGGTGCTCCGAGCTGGACCTGGGACGAAAGCGAAAGAAACGGGTAGGCCTTAGCCGACGAAAAAAGAAAGCACCTATTTGAGAGAAGAGAAGGAAAAACTGCGTAATTACCACGACAATCGCGCATTTAATTTTTCGATTGTGGGCTTTATGCCATTATTCATCACACGATTACATCATTACACCATTGGTTGCCATTCTAATTGCCAACCACCCGACCTGACCGCTAGCGCGCGGTGAAGAATCGCTATGCCTTGCGGCACAGCATCCATTCAGGCGCTGCCGAGGGCGACATCTATTGGCAGGAAATGAGTGATAGAGCTGTGCAGTACAGCATCGAACAGGCGTAGCTGCCTAACAAAGTAGGTGTAGTATGAAAGTGGAACTGCGATTACCACAAAGCAAGATAGTCTTCTTTACGCCACATAATCGTAGGTGCACTGTCAAATACGATGCTTCCGACGGATTTTAAGCATAATGGTTTTTGCATGCATTTTTCCAATGAGGCCTGCAGTTTGTTTATTGCTCTACACTTACTCTTTGTACTTTGCCAGGTAGAAATATTCGTCGAGGAACGTCTGGCCATGTCGCCGGAGTCGGCGACTGAACCTCCTTGTACGCATGCGCAATGACCGGTCGGTGAGTTTCCAGGGTCGTGCCCTGAAGCTCATGACGAACACTCGCTGCTGGTCGACCGAGTCCAGGACCACCTGACGATGGGCGCCGCAAACGCATGTGTCACAAACAAAAAATACCGCTGACTTTTATCTTTACTAAAGAACCACTACAATCAGGAAATCGGCAATAACTATTCGATATCTATATTCTATAACTACAATTATTGCCACAAGGTAACGTTCTAATGCTAATGTCACAGTCACAGCATGAATGCTAGCGTCTTGGTCTATCAAAACATTTGATTCTGATGATCCAACTTTGCCCTACTGCTCGAATTCATCTTCCACGTAGCGGTCTAACATAACTCATTGTGCCTGCATCTGATGAAGCAGCCACATCTATAGTGAACACCGTTCACAGCCTCTCTACTGACCTGATCTGTACTGGGCCGGGGTGGGTCCGTCTCGGCCAGGAGCGGCACGGAGACGCTGAAATCGCCACCGGGCTGCCGACCGGAGCTGCGACCCGGCGAAAACTGCAGCTGGGTCAGCGTCGGGTAGCCTCGACGCAGGTTAGTGCCTGACGAAAGACGCGGTGAGGCACAGGGGTCACAAGTGGAGGTCGCTCAGCATGACACGACAGGCGCCTGGCACTGTATGTGGGTCAAATCTGCGGCTTTGTGACTGGTCGCAAAAGGGTGAACTCAGATTCTCGGCTGCTCTCTCTCTCTCTCTCTCTCTCTCTCTCTCTCTCTCTCTCTCTCTCTCTCTCTCTCTCTCTCTCTCTCTCTCTCTCTTTCTCTCTCTCTCTCTCTCTCTCTCTCTCTCTCTCTCTCTCTCTCTCTCTCTCTCTCTCTCTCTCTCTCTCTCTCTCTCTCTCTCTCTCTCTCTCTCTCCTCACCGCGGCTGTTGTCGCCCTCCAGGTAGTCCTCTATCCCGGCTTGCGCCTCCATCTCTGCCAGTAGACGGTTCTCTGTTGCCGTTACGTAGCTGACCCAGACGATGGCCGGGTACAGTCGTACCTCGTACCGCGCGTTACGGGACACTACTTGGTACTCGGGACAGGAGTCGTCGCATGGAGGGCCGCTGGCTAACGTAGTGCTGGGGGAATGGAAAACAGAGACTCAGGAGTGCGTATGGTATGCAATAAATTCATATATTGGATTGGCGAAGATAGGTGATTATTTTCTTCTTGACATGATTCAGCATATCTAATACGCTATTGCACTAAAGCGCCAGCCGTCAACACACACAAGGTCACTGCGGGCGAATGATGGATTTATTTCGCATATAGGTATACCTATGTCACATAGGTATACCTATGTCAACTAAGCTTGTAAAGCATTTGGATAATACTCACAAACGTGACAAACACTTGTCAATGGACCATCATCAGTTTTTAATCGTTTGTGACGTGCATTGACTAGTTGTCGATAGCTCTGATAATACTTTGATTTATGCCGAGCTTATGATCATAATGCGCAGTTAACTTAATGAGGGTAAGTCGTATCATGTGGATCATTATTCATTTATCACATTTATGTCCGTTATCACATTCATTAGGCTCTGTTGACTGAATAAGGATAGGGACAGGCGTGGGATGTCAACTGAACCGAGAGCTCGATCGCTGATTGTCGAGTCAGATCGGAAAGATGGGAATCTAAAACCACAAATTGGTTATTCGTGGTGGATAATCCCATTGCATTACATCAACGCTCCTGATATGGTCGTTCTTCGTTTGCAGTGTGCCGGTTCTTTTCTCTCGCCACGTTCATCTGATCCCACGATTAGGTACCCACCCTGGCGGGTGACGTGTCACGCCGAACACCTAGCCAATAAACGGGCGGAACGGCCAAACAATTGTATCACTGTGACAATCCCTGTCGGCCGCTCCCAGAGACACCGGTCACTCAGCTCCGACCAATTCTACTGCTGTACTGCAGACAGTCTCACCCATATCCGGCTGAGGGACTGGTCGTGCTGTCGGACTAACGGCGACCACATCCCACGCACATGGGTCAGACCTGCAAGGAGCGGCGACAACGGTCCCTAGAGACGCCACTGCACCGCCGGACACTCTGACAGTGCCCTGCCCCGCCCTCCGACCTCCCCCTCCCGGCCCGATGACAGTGTGTGCGGTGCTAAGACACCGGTCATCGCCCGCAGGATCAACCCACAGGGTGGAGCCACTCCCCACTCCCCGCTCGGAGACACGACACCAACTCCAGCGGGGCACGCTACATGGACCGTCGAGGGTCCGCCCTGCACTACCTGCACCACTAATCACCCGTGCGGCACCACTGCACCACTCGGCACCACGCTCCATCACCGGTTGGCAACAGAACGCACCGGAGCATGCCCCGTTGATCCGGGCGGGAAGGGAGGCTGGCGGTTCGCATAGAGAGCGAAGAGCGAGCGCGCAAACCAAATGAGCAGAGTTTAATACTACAGAGTCCCGTATGTCACTCGGAGAACTGCGAGCAGTGACGGGGATTTCCATAGGGATGAAGGGATCAAGAGATAAAATCGGAAGACTCTCATTTGGTGAAGGGCAGGTAAAGGTATGTATGTACAGTGGATCTAGTTAGGATCTCCAGACGTAACTAGATGGCGTTGAGCCTTAGTCGAGTCCATGTCAAATTCAAGGGGAGGTCAGTACCGAGCTGGGCCCGGTGGGGAGGTGGGGAGGGGCGAGGTCACGGTGCGGGTGACCTGTCAAACAGCCCCGGCGCAGCTAGGCGCTGCCGTAGGCAAAGGACGCATTCCAGCCGGCTCGCTGTTCCATATCGCGGTGGCGGGCCTGGCGGCCCGTAGCCTGGCTGCTTGGAAGGAAAGGATAAAGGCATGGGTTTGCCGTGGTCGTTTCATCTACTGTCACTTATATGACGCACTCAAAGTACTGCATATGTGATGTTGGTAATGCATGATGCTATGGTAGGTATTATTGTTGGTAATTATTGCGATGTTGGTAATGCAGCTGGCAGTGGAATACTAGCGAATGCTCCGTGCGCCGAATAGCTCAAAGGATTAAGATTCTAAATATAGCCTGAAATTTTCATTGAAGATAATTCCAGCACCATAAAATATCCTTCACCAGTTTTGGACTGGCTGATGTTTCTTGCGTAGAACGCCTTTTGACAAATAATTGTCATGGCCGGCGATTTTTTTTTTTGCATGACGGGTCACATCGGACTAAGGTCAAATTTAGTCGCTAAAAGGAAATGAGAAAAAGTGGACGAGTATCGCATTTTTGTGCACAAGGTTTCGAATTAAAAAACTAAGCCAAAATAAGTTAAACAATAAAAAAATATAAGAATATGTGACCCGAAACTAACTTCTGTTTTGTATGATCATGATTGGGTGTAAGACCCCGGTCCAGCCTGGTTCAACCCGGTCTAACGGGTGCTGGAAATGAGGCCGCTTTCTGGTCCCGGCGTTTTATTCTCCGGGCGGGTTAATCCCGTCCAGCGTTTAGCCTTTCGAGACCCACTCAGGGTCGCGGTTGTTTTCGCCGCGCGCCCCAGTCGAGATGCAAAGTTAATAGTCACACGAAGCTTATTTAGGGCCAGCCAAACCAGCCTAGTCTGGAGTCACTGTTAAATGTATGCATATAGATGAAAGAAAAAGGTTTTGTAGAATCGATTAGTTTCGAAGTCGTATATTCAGGGGCCTCAAATGAAGTTCGTGTGACTATCAACTTTGCATCACGAATGGGCCGAGCGGCGGAAACAACCGCGGCTGCTCTGAGAGGGTCCCGAAAGGATAAGCGCTAAACGGGGCTAACCCACCCGGAGAATGAAACGCCGGGACCAGAAAGCGGCCTCATTTTCAGCAGGTTCGGCTCCCTCATTTACCTTCGGGCTTGGCCTCGTGACATTTACAGACGTCAGACATTCAACAAACAATTTTGGCGGAAACACTATCCAGCAAGCTGCGCAGGGGCGCAGGGTGACAGGTGTTCGTAGCGTTGGGGCTGGGTGATCTGTGTGCCGAGTGCGATGTCGTGGGTTCGAGCCCCACACGGCTCTGGTTTTATCTAGACACTAGCCAAAACCTTTCCTTTTACTGCAATACTGACAAGCACGGTGATTTATCTTTCCCGATATCCTCTTAACAAAGTCAAAATTGTCGCACCTATATATTTATTTTAATGTTTTGCTGAGTTTCATGAATTTTCATTTTTTATTTTTGCTCGTTTCTCTGGACCCATTTCAACTCGTGATTCTTTTCGATCCGATAAAAACCCATCAAGGCTGAACGTGCCAAAATAATGAAAGGAATTATGCAACTGAATATAAATTTAGAAAAGCCTTACACATCATGCAAGCTGATCTACTGAAAGTATAGGTCCTAGATTTCAATTATGATTGGTTAACATTTTTGCTGCAAGTTTGAGGCGTTGCCTTTCGCTTGCCCGTTTGTTTGAGATAGCTATTCCCTTCAGTCGCATTCTTGCTGGCTTCACATGAACAGGGTGTTGTTTCACCGGCGATCGCAGGACGCTGCTATTACTACGTGTCAAATTGGGTTTCCATGGCGACGTCAACAAGCCCATTGCTCCAACACTACCACAAGTGTGACGTCAGCAGATATCACCGGTGAAACACCACCCGAGATACCACCATACCTGAGGGAGCGCACCCGCAGCCAGCATCCCCTCCCCTCAGCCGCGGCGCAGTGGCGGGCGGCCCATTCCCGGCGCTACGCACGCTCCACGCCGCGATAGCAGCGCGTCACCCCCCCCCCCCCTCCCTCCTTCCCCCACAATGACCGGTGACCTCGCTCCCCTCGGGATTTGGACTCGCCCTACCCCGACCGTAGCGCCACGTGGTGGCTCTGGAGATCTTAAATAGACCCACTGTACACGTACAGGCGGATGTAAGCGATGTGTATTGGTACAAAGTGCGAGTTGGAGTTGCATTTATTTTAGATCGAATGGTAACATTTCGGGTTTGAAAATCGATGCAAAGTCATTGCTAATGGACCTCTAATGAAATAACTGAAAAGTTTCTTTTTAATTATGCAATGCAGTTACAAATTGAAAGCATGTACTGAATAAGAAAATTCGACACGCGACGTTTTATGTTATGCCTGGCGCTTCCTGTTTTACCGCCGTCTGCCGTCTAGTTCGTCACTTCGGACAGAAACGGATCGATTCAAAGCAAATAGCCAATCTATCCGTGTCATCGATACGTGCCTCAACTCTGGTATCACAGCGCTGCTGTTTGGTTGCTAACTACCGTGCAAACAGCAGTCAAAACAGTCGCCTGCGGTCCTGGTGCAGAGTTCCCCGCTACCAGTCTAAACAGCCACCATCGATCACAGAATTACCCTCGGAAGGCTTAGCAGACACACGAGAAAGATGACTCCCTGTCAACTGAATATCGCCATATTGACGTCTGCGATCCATTTCCTTCAGAAGTATCTCACTTTACGGCATTTATCAGGCATCTCCCTTGGTGACGTGAGCGCTAAAAATATTCCGTCTTTCGTCGACAGAGGCCACAGGCTGGATCTCACCGGGTGAAAGTGATGAAGGTTTATTTCAGCCATGGCAGATTCGACGCTGAGCCAACACTAACCGTCTGCCTCGTTAATTCGGCTTAGTATCTCACCCCGAGGCCGGCGGCTCGCAGAGTCAGACATCTGGGCTGGCAAATATTCTAATCGAAAGTGAATAAATGTTATCATCGAAAGTGAATAAATATCACAATGTCTGACACGATACATCTGGGCTGGACTGACGGCGTCCTGGAGGGCCATGACGGGCGGCGGATGGCGGCGAGACGACAGCTTCTTTCTCGGTATCGTATGACCTCACTTTGAATAAAAAACATTATAACTTTTTTCTCGATTACTTTTTTGACGACTTTTACTTTGATGAATTGTGTAGATCCATTTGGCATAACAGCCTGCCAGACACAGGTCGTGTGCAGAAACATGCCCACTGTTAATCGACATGCTCTGCACTGGAATGGTCTCTGCAGCAAGCGAGCGGCACACAATGCTGCAAACAGAGCTCCGACAGGTCACTGACCTGGGGCTGCCAGATGGTCAGCTGCCAGTCTATAGCGACGCCATGGGAGCTTTCTCCACACAAA